CTTGCTGCCGATATTGCGCCGCCGCTCGCCATAGTTGAACACATTAGCCGAAGAGTCAAGCCTCACTCTTCAAGCAACAACAGTTTTCCCTCGCTAATGCGGTGCAAGAAATGATAAAAAGAAGCACGCTTCTGCGCGTTTTTCGAGTGCCGCGACTGGCTTACAAATGGTACAAATTGGGGACCGCCATTAGCCGCTGCGCACCTGTATGTGTTGTGAAGCCTATTTGTGGGGTCCATGTCTTGTCGAGCAGCGCAGCTGAACAATGCTCTTCTCGTGTAATTATCTCTGTTATGAAGGAAAAAAGCATTGCTTGCAAGGGAAAGCCGTTGTGCGGCTTTCACTTGCAGCCAATGCATCAACATCAAACCATCTTGCGATCAATGCCAAACTTGTGGTCAATGCATCAAAATCAAAACCAATGCATCAAACGTCATTCACACCCGTCAGCCAGAAAGTTCGTGATGCGGCAATGGACGATGTCAGCACCAATCTTGCGAGGTTGAAAGAGCTCGCAGTTATAGAACTTAGCAGGGTCGACATTGTCATTTTGTACGATGGTATGTGGCACAAACATGGCCGCAAAATGGCATGACACTGGACTTAGTTTGGTTTCACAGTCCTGTCGAACTTCTTCCTAGCTTGCAGTTGGAACAAGGCTCTGGAAATGTCTGTGAGGAGTCGGCTCGAAAAAGCTGAGAGGGACAAACTCAAGGGGCTGGCTTATTTTAGTCGCAGTGGCCACTACAAGGATTGTTCTTTTTGGTGTGCAAATTTCATCAGATTTAATATCTTTCGTAAATAAAAACTCAATTTTAACTTAAAAACTCGTTTTTCTCAAAACACAAATTTTGCCATTTTTTTCAATGTGCCCCTCCCTTTTCTGGCACTTATAGTGCTCGGATCTGCATGAAATTTTGCTGAAATTTTTTCTACAGTATGACAAATGCGTTCAATATTTTATTATATAACATAAAAAATTTTATGTAAACCTTTACTAGGGTAAGTGAAATAAGGACTTTTTATGCCTATTATTTTTCACACCTATTACATATTTTGTATGTGCTTCCTAATTAGTTATTTGCATTCTACACTTCATTTCAAGCATAATGAACTATGACTGGTAAAAAATTACGCAAGTTCAGGGATAAAAAGAGGAGGGCAAATGGGTTAAGGTTTTCACTTTGTCATTTTGCAGAGCTAAAAGTAAGCAACTTACAAGAAACTAATTATATACTTGAAATCAGCATGAAAAGTTTTATAAACAGCTCAAGTTTCATTGCTCTAGGCTGAATATTAAAAAAAAGTGTCTTCGAGTAGCATCTCCCCTTAAAAGGGGATATACAAGAAACAAGTGTGCTGGAACAAATGTGCTACATAGGTAATTGTTAGCGAATGTTCCTTAAAGTTTTGAGATGCTTGTGTAGTATGGAAACTGTCGAAATTTAATGCAGAAATCCCTTCCTATTAAGGAAGCAGTGCTTTCAGAGTGTGAAAGGCCACTTGTATGAAAAGATACTGACACCAATTTTGAAAGCTAATTTTAACCGGTAACTGCCGGACGAACCTATTATATACACAAAAGTGGCTCTAAGCAAGTGTGATGTTCAGAAAATGCTGATACGCTATTGTACTTTCACATTATAGTCTATTTTCATTTGGTGCATTCACTAATGTGAACCGTTTTCTCTGACACTAGCGTGATGCCACGCTTAAATGTCAGTTCTAGTCACTTCATGCACAAGTATGGCTAAAGGCGACATCAGGTACCAAAACATGTTAAATGGCCGCTCGTGTATCGCCAATTGAGCCACAGGGCTCATCAGCCGCTGATAATGCGCAACTGAAAATTTTCGTGTCAGTACCCCTTGAACATTTACAACTGGTCTAGAGATGCACATCCTAACTTGCCATGGAATATGACTGCGAATGGCGCATGAACGGTTCTTTATTTAATATTCTGTGTTCTAGCACCAGCGACAAGAATGCAATTAAAAGTATAGTGAAAAGTAAAAAAAAATTGGCGAACCTTGCACTCAGTCACACAAAGCTTGAAACAGTGAGTGTGGACGATTCTGAAGGATAACCTGGTTACTTCTAAGTTATTGCTAGGCTTTTGATAGGTAGTTTCTGTCTTGATTCTCAATGCAAAGAAGTTTGAGGTAAACTGCAGACGGTCCCAGAAATGACATAAATGTACAAACTGCAGGGATAAAACATAGCGCTGGAGCCAACCGTTCGCACCTCTTATACAGCAGACTCAAGACTCGAAGTGACCACAATAATTTCTTTGTCTTATCAGAAGTGTCCCCGAAAACCAAATGCTAACAAGACAAGTACTCCCAAATATGTTGCTTGAAAACACTGAATGAAGTATACTTATAATGAAGAGGAAAGGAACAAGAAAATCATTTATTTGGCTCAGCTTAATAAAAACTAAACAAGTACTCGACATCACGAGTTCATAATAAATGTGCTCATGAAGAAATTACTACCGCATTTTAACAATAAAACTATAGCACGTCCCTGTTTTGATGATTAGAAAAAGATAAAAAGGGAGAGACAAGCACAATTTTCGTTCAAAAATGAGAAAACTTATTCTTCAGGCTGTTCACTGCAGTGTACTAGACTTCACCGTCTGAGAGGCTGTTTTATTGGCTTTGCTATTACTTTTGGATAAACCTCCATTGCTAATCGCTACCTTGACAAAGCCAGTATAAGTATTTGCCAAGTTGCTTATGAAAGTCTGCAAGCCTTTTTATGAGGTTCAGATATTTTATTATTTTCAGCCCATAGTAACTTTTTCTGAATAACCTGCAGCTGAATATCTCCATTTACGTTACTCACGAGAACAAGCCTTGGGCACACAAAAAAGGCATGACGTAGCTATATTTAGTGTTCAAAATGACGTTCATTTGTCACGCATTTTCATATTGAATATGGCGCATCACAATTTGCTGCATTTCACTAGGAATGGATATAATGCGCTCAGGCTCTATGCAAAACAACGCAAACTGACCAAAACATGTGCTTAGGTGCCATTGTGTGACAAGGATGACAATGCATCAGACTCCTCTGATTGGAGTGCTAGTGCCACATATGTGGTTTTCGTTTCAAGCGATCATAATGTACAGACAATCGTTCACGTTTTCACTTTCATATGGATATTTTTTGCCCCCCCCTTCCCCTGCATTTCCCCTCTTGGCAAATTGTTGTTATGTTCTATAACAATTTATGTACTATTGTGTGTTATGTACTATTGTAGGGGAACTGAAGAACGTGAAAATATGAAAGTACAAACATTTTTTACTGCTTTCATTGCTGATAACGCCGGCCCTTTCTTCACCTACAGGCTAGGGGTGATGGATATACCAGCTTTATGCGCTGCCCTTTTTTTTCCACTTACCCGCCTTCTCCCTCCACCTCGCAATTTGCTTTCAAGTCTTTTTTTTGCCCCCATTTTGCTTTATCTTCTTCGCCTCAATCAATGTTCGTTACACAAAATCCCTGTCGTTGTTGGTCGCTGCGAGAGTTTGTCTTAACAAAAGAGGCTTGTTGTGCGGTTCGTCTTAAGCATATTTTTTTTTGCATTGAGTCAATGGTAAACCAAACACTCCCGTTTTAATTCTTCTAAACAGAATTATACTTAATGAGAGTTTACTATAGATCTATGCGCACATTGTCATTGGCCTTCTATCGCTCAGAGTATTTTCGCAGCCGCCACTGCCTTTCTCATTACATAGTATTCTCTCTTTGTACACACTCTGGGTCTTCGGCTCGTCGCCAACGCTTTGCACCCTATTTCTGCGGCACACACAAACATGTTTTTTGAAGATGATAGTTTTTTTAGTATGCTGGCAAAGAACGATTTGCTAAACAGCTTTGATCCTGAAAGGTAGGACTCCTTGCGTCAATACGATGCACTTGAGAGAATGCAAGGCAGCTATGTAATTTGTGGACGCTATTTGACGCAGAAGGGGGAGAGTGTTGGCTCCAGCAACTCAGCCTGTGGAGACATGGTAACTAAACGGTTCCAATTAATTTTAACGTACCTAATAATGAACCAACTTGACGAAATCATCCAGTATGATGTCTTCTAGGTGATGCCTTACAACTTTCAATGATTACCCAAATTTGCAGCGAGGCCAGGTGAGGGAGAGAGACCCTCCCTATTTTCCTTGACCTAACTTTTTTTTTAATTTTTGCACAACAGAATGCTCACTCTTCATAGTGTTTGTAGTTGCAGTAATTCTTCCCAAAAGCACGTAAGTACTTAATTTGCAAGCACTATTTTTCGAACTGAAAAGCTCTAAACACAGATGCATCTTTTTTCCAATAACGCTGAGAAACGATAGCGATGCAGCCAGCCCATCTCGCGATTTGTGAAGGCTGCCGTTGTTACGCTTTCGCAGAAGCTACTGTAGCTATGCTTAACCTCCTTTATTTTGAGCTTTCCAATTATTTTTCAAAATACCAAGCTGTCACAAAGAGATTATGTGGCATTATACGCCTCTGTATAACCAGCCTGCACCCATGGTTGCCTGCCCATATATCATGGATGGCTTGCCCCGGCATTGTTACTATCTCAATACATGAGCCAAGCCGAGTCACTGAAAACGTCACTACACTTATGCATGGCCTTACTGAGTAGCAGTACATGTCGCTTCGGAGATGACACTAATGTGGGTAGCAAAACTACGTTGCTCTGAAATCTTAGCAACCTGAAAACTGCATGCACAGTTTCATGGGCTCGCTGAAAAGTTGCTCAAGAGACGCTGATCAGCATGGTATCATAATGCCACTCAAAGTTGGTGCTGCTTAGTAGTATTGAAAACTGGGAAAGTTGGTAACAATTCATAGCCGGTTGAGGTAAACAGCGCAAAAAATGAAGACAGAGTAAAGGAAGGACACAAGACGAGCTCTGCCTTGTCTTTTTTCTGCTGTTTACCTCGGCGTGGTGCTGCTTTAATGTATAATAATAAAGTAGGCCCATGTGTTTATTTTTATGGAGTTATATCTTTTAATATAAAGAAACCAACAATATTTCAATACTGACAAAAAAAGGCTGTCGACCGCATACAGAAATCAATGGCCATCTGACCAGGTAAATCAGATCGTTCATGTTTTTTGCCGCCAGAGGCGCCACATGTCCTTTTTCACGACTATCAACGAATAAAAATATAAATCTATTTCTGACAAAAAAAGGGGGGGGGGGGGGGCTTTGGTTTCAGTCAATGCTATGGACAATCTTTCCATCAGTGGAGCAATCTAAATTCATGTTCTGGGTAGTTGTCCATCGTTTTAAGTAAAAAATAGGCAGCAGTTCCCAAATACAGTGTACACAGCACACAGAAAACACTGAAACCTCATGTAAAAAATGTTGGACACCCATATATTCCATAAATAGATGAAGAGACCTATACTAAAATTGTTGAATAAATTTATTTTTCACATTGAGAAAATGATTACCTGACAAACATTCACCCAAGTGTCTGAATAAGGCACTCCTTGTAGTACAAATGTTTAGAACAGTAATGCCATACAGCGTCACGGTCATTTTGGAATGACTAGAGATGCCAGCAGTAAAGTAACAGATTACATTACCAAGTGAAGCTTTTATAAGTGCAAAAAATGTGCTAATAGAGCAGATCGTATTGGCTTGGATAATTTTTCGAACTAAAAGTCTGCTAAAATATATAACAGTAAAACATAACACCTATCATCCAGCGAAACAAAACCAAGCCCGTTGTATACGTTCAGCACTATATAAGTTCATTTGAAATACAGCTAAAGCCAGCCGATTCTAATCATGCAGGGTGCATTGTCACATGAACTTACAATGGTAAAAATAACAGCATGCACATGGTGTACCAGTATTCATGTCACTAGTAGTTCACAAAAAAAAAGCTTTGGTGTGATGCACGATAAAATGTATATTATCACTTCCACTTGCACACATACAATCACTTTAGAATTGTTTAGAGAAACCTGCAAACAGTATGTACAATAGGTGTGCAATAATAGGTGAACAGAAACGAAGAAATAGTCAAAATTAAGCTGCACAACTCGTACTTACAAAAAAATTCTATAGAATGACAATCGCAAATAAAAAAAGAAATTAAAGCTACGGTCATGCTAAGGGCCAAATCTGCACGGCAAAAGATGCCAGCTAAGTAATGCAGTTTGCTCAAATGGTGGGTAGGCTTGCCAGGAAAAAAAAAAGGGGGGGGGGGGAAAGAGGGGCAACTCCGACAGTGCGACCAATATCACAATCCCCTCAGACATTGTAAGCACGATCATCACGGTAATGGCAGGAAGCTGACAAATCCGTCCTTACACAATAACTAAACTTAGATTTTAGCAAAAGGGGCACCTAGGTCAGGTGCGCATTTGTAGAGCTGCCTGCAATGCTCAGATACCCACTTCGAGACGGCCTGTCATTCAGGAAGTCGCCAGGCTCATTCACTGGAATGCAGGCGTCGTCTGAAAAACTTCCCAAGAGAAGCTTCCGCTCGCTGAAGTAGTCTGGCCTGCGTTGAACTGTATTCTTTACAGTGTTGCCTGGAAGACACCACAAACAGTGCAGTGAAACCAACCAGTTGCGTGAACCTACATTTCGCTTCTACAGATGTGTATGAAATATTTCGGAAAAAGATGTACCAAATAACATGTTAAAAAAATTGGCCACAAAGAAACTGCAATTTGATCTCTACAAAATAATGTGCCAAACTAAGCAAGACGCCTTGTTTGAGAAGGTCAGTGAGGGGTTACATGAAAGCCATGAAGTTACTTATGAATCGGCAAAAGTAGAAGCACAGACCCACAAAACTGCGAACATCGTGGACAGAGCACGGAACCAATATCATTCCTGGAGGGAACTCGCTTAGAGCGAGTTCATAAACTAAAAAGCCAGCACATATTTCATTTTTTTTAATAAAGAAACAGAATCAAGCACAGTAGGAAACTTAACAAAAGCTGCTCTGTGCAATACAAGCTGGCTGCTTACCTTCACGTGTGAATTTAGTTATTGTACCTCCCTAAATTACCTTTGAAGGCCATCTTTCCAGGTGTTTTCTTCCTTCCCTTATATTGTACGTGCCTTGAGTTTTGGACATCACAAAAGAAACAAGCATACGATATGAAGATGCGCAGTCACTGAAGCTCAGCAGACTCACTCATTGAAAAATTAACATTGGCTCATTTTAGCCCTCAATACCACGTGAGAGATCGCTTTTACAATAGTGACCATTTAGTGTAACTATGGATAGTAGTGTTTAGTCATATGCAAGAACTTGTGGTTTAATAGCTTCCTTTGTACAATACTGCTGATCAAAGCACTATCAGGAGCTGGTGATGAGACATTTACACATTTGCTACATTAAAGAAAGAAACAACAAATGCATAAAAGTTGACAGAACGGGCTCCACAAAGATGCTACAAAACACACTCGCCGCAAATTTCAACAAAAAGAAATGTTGAAACAAGATCCTTTCATTATTGCAGTTATCCCACACCTGTTCACTTTGTTCTGTAACAAGTCTGAAACTTGAAGCCTGGCAGAGTGTTACCATTTTGACATTGCTTGTACACCAAACTATACTGCACTTAAATTGTAATCTAGCCTAGTCAATCATAAGTCAATGAAATCATTACATATCAAGATCGTTGCAAAATCACCATTATTTTTTCTTTTTTTTGTTTCACCAACAAAAAACTTATTTTCGGTGAAATATCAGCAATAAAATTAGTCAATATTTTCATTACTATGTTAAGAAAAAATACAAACAATATAAAGCTAAGATAATGCTCCTATAGACTCTTGGCTGATCCCCCTGAGTGGGTATGTGCTAATATTTCAAGGAGAATCATCATCATCTATAGACATAAGCTACCTGGTATGATGCTAACAAAGTGGTTTGTGGAAGTCGACGAGGAGGCGCTAATGTTAGTAACGGCTACACTTCTATCAAATTTGCTAAAAACAAAGCCGAAGCTTGAAGCCTGGCAGAATGGTGCCGCTTTTACACAGCGTGGGCTTGGAATTGTGCTGCAGTTTAATGGCATTTTAAAGACATTTCACTTATAGACTTTGAGAGTGATCTTAATATGGGAGACCATCGCCTCATATGGGTCTTTCCACAGGAACTCTTCGCATCACTTGTAATGAAGAGCCAGAAACTGTTGCTCTACAGTCAGCTCTACTGGTTAACTGCAGCTATTTGCCAGGAGGTGTGCTGCCTTGCTTAGCGTTTTCCCGGCCATGAAAATTGCAGAAATTGTATAAAATTCACGGAAACCTTTTTTTTTTCACTTAAGTTGCGGAGTTTTTTTTAAAAATAAAACAGCACCATTATTTAAATTGAATGGGGTTGCATTATTTCACTAATTTATGTAAAAAAAGATAGCCCTAAGGTGGCTTCACCACGTGGCAATAAAATGGAAGCCGAGTCGCGAATAGCAGACAATGTAGCCACCAACGTCAAGAAATACTATTATAATGGGCATAATGGTTATTGGTTCCATGTGGGACCAGTTTTTGCTGACAATGAGTATGGTTGTCATCATTAGTTTAATTTTAAAAAATCTCATGAAGATTATACTTGTCAATGAGCAGAAAAGAGTTAGTGATAAGTCAGTTGGTGAGAGATAGGACAAGGTGAAGTCCTGTTCCTTTGTCTGCATCCCTGATTCGGCTGCAACCAACTTGAGGAGAACAAAAGACTGTTCGCTGAATTCGATTTTTTTTCCCTTCATGCAATGTTTTATTTAGGTTCATTTTTTTCTAATGCTAGTTGCGATGCTGAAGCTACTTACAACCTGTCACCAAACGGTTATGGCCAATACGCAAAGTGGCCATGACTTACAAACTTACTCTAAAAAAGAAAAAAAAAAGTACCACTGCCCATAATGTGATGGTAAGGTAATGTCGAGTAAGACATGAACATAGAGAACTGATGAACATAGAGAAACTGAGACACTAGGAAAATTGACTGACAAAGTGATACGAGAGCACCCGACAGCTCTGAGATTGTACAAAAATGAGGTACAGCTGGCAGAAGGAGGAGAGGACGTTCATGCATGCTTAGAAGCAGAGGAACCAACCACTTCATTAATATTTCAAGTGTCGTCTCGTGTATTAATGTAATTAAATCTGAATTTCTTTATGTTCACACAATTATTAATTGCTATTATACACTATCCTATTTGATTTAGTATCAGCTTCTTTCATATCTTCACTTAAAATATCGTTGCATCGTGGCTATGCATAGTGGCTACCTATAGAAGCACCTTTTGGTACATACTATGCCAGCTTATAATGTCGTCTGGTGTCGTTAACTCATGGGAGAACTGCCTGAGTTGTCTAGTGGCTGTGGTGCTTGGCTGCTGACCCACAAGCCGTGGGATCGAATTATGGCTGTGGCGGTCGCATTTTTAATGTACCTATGTGAAAAAGCTTGAGGGCCATGCAATTGGATCTAGGTGCACAGTAAAGAATCCCAGGTGGTTAAAACTTTTAGAGCCCTTTACTAAAAAGTAACTTATAATTATATAATGATTTTTGAATGACAAAAATGTCCATAATTAATTTTTATCACTGATGGGAGAGGTTACTACTACAGAAGAGTGTAATAGCTCAAAGCCATAAATGTTGGCTTGAGACTCCAGGCATGACTTCAAACAGAGAAATAGCTTCGGATAGTGAAAGCAGTCCTAGAGACTAAGCACGACTAATGACTTTTCATGATCCAGTTTCAATAGGAGTGTAAGTGTTTGTACCTCCCCCTCCCCCCTTTTTTTGATAGTATCAGGGTCTCTGCCAGCAAGTTTATTAATGAAATGAAATTATTTGCACTTGTGTGATGCCTGTAAATCAACCAGCTTTCAGATACTGAACCATGGAATTTGAAGCAAGTACACTAGAACATTTTTTGCCCAGTCAATGAAATCATTATGTTTCAGGATCATAGCAAGAACCTATATTTTCTTCTTTCCTTTTTATTGTCACAAAATTTATTCCTTGTGACAAACCAGCAATGTTGTGCATGGTCTTGATTGCCATTTTACAAAATCAAAGTGAAAGAAACAATCCTTCTGAGGCATGAATTATACCGGGTATGCTGATAGCACAGTGCTTTATGAAAGTTAGTGGGGAGGCACTGATGTTAGCAAAGGCTACAGATACTGTGTGTTAACTTTGCTCACAATGTCGATGGGGTGGCATACTAGTTGAATATATGCTGCCTAAGGTAGTCTTTCACTTCACAGCTTCAGTAACATATGCGAGCTAGCATTTACAGGCAGAAATGCAAAAGAACTCACGAAGGCGTAAAGCGCAATTAGTACTATCATTAACTGTGATTGTCTAAATAACTAAGAGGTGTTCAGAATGTTGTCTCCAACTCGAATCTGCAGTTGTCCCACTAATGATACAATGATTTCCAAAGCCCAGAAGAAAACATTTGTGTGTAATTATAATATTCATTCTGCACCTAATTTACATGTATTGAGAGCTTTTAGAAACCACTAATTGTAGTTAAAAACCTATGCTCATAATCCCCGATATATTAGTCCTGACCATGCATTGTGTCACAACCATATCACAAGCTTGTCTTTTCTTTTTTTACTTCACATAGTCACATTTCAGGAGACACCAAATAATATCGTAGAAACTACTTCGATCTGGCATCTTTAATTTATTAATGAAGTTGACAATCTAAATTAAACAGGGCCTAAATTCCCTGTGAAGCTTTGTGAACCTCCGAAATTTTTCTTCCTACATGAGTTCTGCACAAGCGAAGCTTATTTGATCCTTGTGCTACAGCAACCTTGTATTATGCACAATAAAATATAGTATGTTCACGAACTAAACCCAAGCAAGCCCTACAAAGCTCATCATTCAATTTATTTCTCCTCAGTTTTAACACAGGGATTATGAATGATAAGAAAAGAAGAATGCTTCATCATCCTTAATCCATGTTGTCAGCATGTGTGAAGATGTCCAAGTGATATACGCACACCTCAATCAGTAGTTGCTGGTAACTAAGCATAACACTGAGTGTTTGACACTAGTACAACATATACTGCATAGCTGAACAATGTGTATCTTTGCAAAGTTCGATTCAGAACTTATTAACAGTTCAAGAAGTTCACAAGTGCGTTCTATGAATCTGATGTGATCTTCTAAAATGATTTTCTGCAATGAATATACAAGTTGCAAAATTTGACTTCATGCAACAATGTTCAAAGAGCAGTACGTGTATATCTGCACTGCAAAGAGTAGCTTTTGGAATCAATGTCGTGGTGTCTCATTTTTACAGCAAAGGTCCTTTATGGCCTCACTTGGTACCGATTCTGTTTGTTTTCTTCGTATACCTCAGAACCTTTCCCCACTTGTTAATGTATTACTTTCTTGATGGCGCATCACACGGGTAGCACAATGCAGCCGTGACAGGCGAAATGGTGAACGAAGCTGAGTAACAATGAAAACTTGCCTGTCTACAATGTCTACCAGCAAAGACTTGCCAGATTACCCTCAATTTTCTGTCCTTTCTTTTTTTCACTGCAGGCCCACGCTGTAAGGCCAACAACGTAACATGTTCTCAGACAATAAAGTGATGCCTGTTTTTTATTAACTTTAAACAAAGGCCATTGTTTCCAACTAACGTGTTTGCTTATCCCTAAGACAATGTTTACTTATTCTAAAGATAGTGCGAGTTTCAGCTCTAAAGTTCAGGGAAAACTCAGAGCGATTTTCACTAGACTTCTTACTACTGTGCTGAATTCTTTAATTGATACATATCTGCCTCTGGAAGACAGTGCCACTTTCATTACCGTAATTACTCGAATCTAACGCGCACCTTTTTTCCGGTTAAGCGAGTTCATAAATCGCATGCGCGTTAGAATCGAGTACGAACAAAAAAAATACGTTCAATCTATTGCCATCGGCAAATCCAAAATGGCCGCCCCCTACGTGCGTCGGCATGGCGCGTCGGCCATTTCTGCCTATGTGTTTCCCATGTGCGACACTTCGTATGTGTGCTGAGGAGTCCGTCATCTAGTAGTGCATTAGCATCGACGGCGTGGAAGGGCCGACTCCAAAAACTCGAGTGCACCACGATGCCGCTTTTAAAAGAAAAGCCATCGCGTGTGCGGAAACGGACGGAAATCGGGCCGCATCGCGGTCGTTCGGAGTTCCCGAAACGTGCGTGCGGGACCGGCGGAAACAAAAGCAGAAGAATGTCGACAGCAAAGCTCACGCAAAGGCTTCAGTGGACCACAGCAGGGTCGGTTTCCGCAAATTAAAGAGCTGCTCGGCGAGTATGTGCTTGAGCAGCGAGCGGCACAGCGGCCCACGACGACAGAACTGCTCCAAGTGCGGGCTATGCAATTAGTCTTAGAAAAAGGTCTAATGTGGAGCCAGTTTAAAGGGAGCAGGTGCTGGCTAACTAACTTTATGAAGAGGAAACACTTTTCCCTCCGAAGGGGAACATGCATATGCGAAAAGTTTTGCGGAGGAGTACGATGAACAGCTTCACAGTTTTCAGAGGTTCGTCCTAAACTTGCGGCGCAACAACGACTACCTGCTTGGGCAAATCGGGAATGCCGATCAGACGCCTCTTTACTTCGACATGCCTGGCACCACAACCGTCGAGAAGGGGGCGAAGCAAGTTCGCGTGCTGACATTGGTCCACGGTAAAACTACAGTGACGGCAATGCTCTGTTACACGTCAGATGGGCACAAGTTTCGCCCGTACCTCATATTTAAATGGAAGACGCTCCCCAAAGGAGTCGTTTTTTCGAGTGGTGTGATCGTGCGGGCCAGCGAGAAAAATGGGTGCGCGTTGCAATCGATGTCCTAAGTTTTTTTTTTTTTTTTTTTTTCACGGTGGAAATCGGGTGCGCGTTACAATCGAGGGCGCGGTAGAATCGAGTAAATACGGTACTTTCTCGTATCAGTGTTGGTTACGAACTTGTGCAATCAGATTGCTTGGCTAGCCTGTGATGTCAGTTTCCGCTATGTGCACGTGATGTACTGTCGCCAACTGGCTACATGAACTGTGATTTAGTGATCAGAGCTATAGCGTCATTTTTAAACTCTATTCCATTACCGACTAATTGGCACAAAGGACACAGTTATTTTCAATAAATGAAAATCACTTTAAAATGTAACTGCTACATAAATAGAACAACTGCTTCAAATATGATTTGTTTTATACCTGAATTCTGCCCCACCCCCCATTTCTGTCTAAGTAAACTGAACACCTGTTAGGAGAGTCTACTATATATATTAATCTATAAACGAAATTCAAAAGTAATCTCGTCACAGTTTAAGCTCAGAGATGCTTTTTGCATGTCTGTATTTAGCCATTCCTCAGTTACAAGTTTATGCTGGAGTTTTTACTATTGTACTGTAAACTTACGTTTACTCTGTAACACGTGATTGACAGACAAGAAGATGGTGGTGTCATTGACAATTCTACTGCAGAGTTTCCGCAAAAGCAGCATGCGTTTAACTTGGATCAAGCCAACACAGCTGTGAAGTTCTTTTCCATAATGAAGCTCGTATTTGCATAAGAGTTTCATCAGAGCAGGGACCACAAAGGCAAGTCCACGAGGGCAGTGAGAAAGGGGAGGGACAGAAAAGCCTTAGCCTGAGGCCCATGGTGTGTCACATGCCCCCATCCCAGCTAGAGCAAAGCACACAGTGGCCTGCCTTACCGCCATGGCTAGCACGGCCTTTCATACATCCTGTGTCAGGTCAGATGTCCCGCGCGGCCATGAATGAGAGGCAGCAGGGAGTAGCCTGCCTTACCGACATGTCTTATATGGTCAGACACGTCCTGCGTCACGTCGGACACGTCCCACATGGCCATGAACGACAGGCAGCAGGGGATGGGCCGTGCGTGCGGGTCCACGTATGGGACGTGCGAGAAGGCAAAGTAGTGGGCAACCGCGGCCACAAACATCTCTATGCAGATCAGGAAGTCCTAAAAAGAGATCCGAAACAAAATGAGTTTGTTATTATTTACGGCAGCTCTCACCTGCTCTGAAAGGTGCACCACATGCATCATCAGTAATTTTCACTATTTTACTCCTAGCCATTTACTAGATTCTACCATACATATTTTGCCAAAAAGACTGGTCTGAAAATTGCCTGCACATTGAAGCCACATAGAACATCACAGTGTCATGGCCAAGATCATCGCCACTCTCATGACAATGTGGCGACAGTACATGTATCAATGAAGTGGAACAAACAGCAAAATAATTGGAAGCAGTAAACGTGACAGACACAGTGACTGTATTCTTTTTTCTATTTTGTTCTGTTTAATTATTCACCAATAAGCCCAGTTCAGGGCTTTTCTGTAGGTTAATAGCAACAACGTGCCCCTATCAATAAAACACCTCACTTAATAAAGAAGCTGTTCTACAAGATAAGACGGCAGTAACAAAATTGATGTACTAGAGATAAGTGTGACACTGGATGACGGGCAAAACGGTTAATAATGCAAATAATGGGCCCAATTAAAATGATAGCATAGTCATCTGTTAGAGGAACAGATACTATCGAACATAGACAACAAACATAACATCACGCCATGGTGCATTCATATCAGTCAACACTGGGCTAAAAGAGACAACAAACATTGCTTGTAAATCAACTTCCATAATGCAAAGTTCGCATAGTATGTGTGTGTATCATGCAGCAGCATTTTAAAAAGAAGGAATGATGTCTTGCGAAGCAAACCTAATGCATATTGTTCCCAGTACGCTGCAGTAGCCACTGCTCATTTTTGGTTAACGTGGTTTGATTACTGTATTTACTTGAATCCAGGCCAATCGTTTTTTTATTTTTTTTTCTTTCAAATTTCTCTGCATCAAACACTAGGGTCGCTTTACATTCGATTTTGAAAAGTGCTCCATTTCTCATTGAGAAAAGTGGTGCACAACTAGTGCCACCTAGACGGTATTATAGCCATTAGAAGCCAAGCCAACACATCATTTAGACGCGTGAAGCCGCCATTTTGATTTTTGCGATGAGTGTTGAGACGGGCCGTTTGTCATTTCGAGTCACACTTTGAGTGGTCTGTGCGTGGCATAGCTCAATGGTGCTAAACAGGCTGTGTCGTTATGGTGCCGCTTATAAACGGAAAGTTGGCTATGCCGGGGAGTCATCGTCCAACGTTCAAACCGAGCAGGACAGGAGTGGATGAAAAAAATGTGCCTTGCTGGGGGGGGGGCTGCAGCATGGGACGAGAAACTGTGAACTTCGATTGCGGGCTCTTTTAAAAAATGCGGCATATCCTATGTGCTTGATGTCACTGAGAATTGTGCACTGTTTGAAGACAGCGAGAAAAAAGTCAGTGACAAAAAAAGCAATGACGATGACTCAAAATGAGCGTGGCATGTTGATGATGCTAGAAGCAGTGCGAAAAAAAAATGACAAAGAAACATGTGCAACAGGACTAGCAGCAGTATATGTTCTCGAGTTATTCGCATCATGAACCATCTGCTCTGTTCAATCTTCACATTAAATAAATGTTTTCTAATGCTTTCTTCTCTGTTTCATTTGGCCTACATTCAAGGTAAGTTTTTTTTTCCCAGGCTTCGAACTCTTGTGGTGTCAGCTTGTAATCGTGGTCGGCCTAGATCCGAGTAAATACGATAATTAGACATAATTATCTTTTTGATGCCACAAGTGCTCACCTAATAACCAAAATGCCAATGAGGCATATGTTGGCTTGTACAAATAACATCCAACTGCACTATTTTATTTTGAACAACATACTAAATTGCATGCTCATTTTTTCCAGCTGATTAATAAAGTCTGCACAGTGTTAAAAATACCACGTCGCTATGTTACCACACGCAAAAGAAAGAAGCACCCTCAAAGAACCTTACTGCAAGTACCGTATTTACTCGCGTAATCCTCACACTCACATATTTCTCGCACCCCCACATTGTACAACAAAAATACGATTTTTTTTCCTCGAGTAATTATTGCACCCTCGGAAATTGCCGCAATAAAGTCGTCTGCTCGTTCCAGCCGTTGATGATGATAGCACGCGCCATCTGTTGCCATCTCTTAAGCATCAATCGTGCTATTATTGCACGTAGATTCAATCCAATCTAAACCAAGCCAAAACGGCAAGTGCGCGTTGCGGTGTGTTTTGTATGTTGTGTCGTCATGGGGCGATACTGAAGCTACATGGCTGCTTTAAAGTTGAAAGTGATTGATCATGCACTAAACAACGGCAACAAGGCTGTCGGTAGGCTCTTTGGAGTCGACGAGCTTTGTGTTCGCTATTGGTGACTGCAGCTGAAAGCCACCCAGATACCTTGGGCCTGCCGTGTGACTGGGATTGATGGTAAACTTTATTTCTTCAGAAGGAAACTGGGGACAATTCTGTTAAATAGTCATCAGCTCAATACTGACATCCTACGCTTACCTTTTGAGGGCTCCGGTTCAGTGACGAATGCTACCGCAACGCCCACAAGCTTTGCGTAGGGTATTCTAATTCTCAACTATTTGCTTGCACTTTTTGTGTCTCAAATAAATTTTGCCTTGTGTTGAACCTGTGCTTTTATTGTTGAGGTAAAATTTAATTAGTACTTCTCAAAGCTTGCTGTTAGTTGCTGGCGTGAGAATCCCAATTCGCAGCCACATCGTTTTCTTTTTTGCTCGGTACGTTTTCGTGGAAAGTTTTTCCAACGCAATTCTCGCACCCACCAAATTTGCATCGGTTTTCCACCGAAAAAAGTGCGAGGATTATGCGAGTAAATACGGTAACAGCCTCGCATGTTGTCCACTCCCAGAGATAGCATTCTGTACTTTGCAAGTGTACAGAATGAGAGCCAACAACATGCGTTGCAAATATTCAGAGATTCCTTCTACACAACTGTACTCCACCATTATTATCTATGTCTCATGGCCAACTTTTTATTCATAATGTGTCCAAAGCACTGTTATGACTACGACCGACTCTGCCCTACCAAAGCCTCGTGTTGTTTCGGCCAGAAAGTGGAAGATAAGGTGATCCACAATTTTTCTTTCTGCATTTTTTCTTGATACTGGCCACCTCACAATGCACCTGTTTGACAGTGCTGTTTTTTTATGTGTGCTGCCATTTAGTTATGAGCCATTTTTCAGATTTTATGGGCTTATTTATTATCTAGAGAAATCCGAGCGGAATCACTATGTTGTTAAAAACAATGCAATTAGGTGTCATTCCAACATGCCAACATATGCTTCATTGACATTTCGATAATTACGTTGGCACTTATTGAGTCACAAATGTAATTATAACTCACTGATTTACCTTATTATTGAAAAATATTATTCGTGGCTACTCTAGTCTACTGACACAATATGCACTATCAGCGTCAAATGAAACCCGAACAGCTGCAACTTTTCATGATGGTTCAGTGCTCACCATACCATTAATGAGTACTTGCCGCTGTTCGGGTTTCATTTGACACCGATAGTACTAGTGACACCAGCCTTCCTTTTTTTAAATCTTGCTGCATGGCAGTAGGGACACTTTTATCCTCCCGACCGCAAAGCGACAGGAGACATGCTGTATTTTTCATTTTAACACAGTTAAGAACACATATGATTTGGGGCTACATTAGTTAGTATTTCGCTTTGAAATTTCAGAAACTGACTTAGCGTTATAGCTGGAGCCACATGTATGAATGAGCCCAAAGGGCTGGCTTGCAAGGGCTTCCATTTTTATTTCTGTCAAGACATAGATGGTAACTAAATTTGAATTTTCACCACAGCAAAGGGCAAGAAATACTGCTCTACATATCTACCTACCTAGGTAAAAGGAACAGTACTTACTTGAAGACCTCTGTTCACGTCGCCTGCAGTTCCTTTCTCGCTGAAGAAAGAGGGGGACACCAAGCCCGTGTATATCAACAGCGAGATGATCACCGATTGGCTGAAAAATTAAAGCACTGTTTTTATTCATAGTCTTACACTATTTAAAAAATGCTTTAGAGCTGAGCGCCTGTTTGTGAAAAAAAGAGAGAGAAATTAAAGATGAAAGAAAGACTTTGGCAAGGCTAATCTAACTGGCGAGTTGCTATTTCTGCACTTAAGCATGTAGTGAAGCAAAAAAACACAAGAAAAAGAAAACACAACGGCAACCTGGTCAGTTTAGTGCAAGCTCGCACTGTATTTTGAGCATTTTATGCTATTTAACTTTCAATTCACAACATTCGAAAGCCATGCAATTAAGGGGTTACCAAGACAGACTGAATCGTTTCTATTTTGTTGCACAGTAAGGAATTAAACATACAGAAACATACTCATATATTTTACTGCCTACCAGACATTATAAAAGCTTCCTCCATGCCTGAAAAGTCAAGGGCTTTTCATTCAAGCATACCTAATAATTATTTTTCATACTTGGGCTTTGGAAGTACTAGAACATGTTACCCATACACATCGTCGAATTCCAAATAATCCCAACATTTCTTTCTACACTTGCACATAAGCCACAATCACTTTACACTGACTTTGTCGGTAGAACGATCAGAATGGATATTTAGAACTTGGACAAGACATCAAAGAAAAATATAGGGGATGCTATTTTTTGTAGTAATTGTGCAATATCTGAAGAAAATAAAGAGGACGAAATGAAACCTTGCAGCTGCGTGTACAGACTCATCTTGCTCCCTGTTGTACACGACAGGTATCATTAACCATTCCAGGTATTGCTACATACATAATTAATCAGCTTTATTACACAAAAATGTATTTTAGTATGACAAAGTGTTACTTACAAGAAAGAGAAAAACACTACAGCTTTGATGCACAGGAATTTCGGTATTGGGGACATCGGTGTCAGTTCAGTCCGGTAGGCCTTGTAAAACAAGACTAGGCTGTACATAGCGACCTGGGAAAAATACAGTGCATACATGTTGAAATATGATACCAGCACAATACAATGCACATTACCAAGAAAGAACAGCAGACAAGAGAAAACAGGATGCGGATGATGCACACAGCAAGTTATTCAAAGGAATCGCTAACATATCACAGGACGAATGCAATGTTTAAAGATATATGTGTTCAACTTACAAACTGCGATATGTTGTTTATAACCACTATATATGGGTACGAATATCCAAAATCAAACTTTCCTTCTCCATACTTTCCAAACATTTCAGTAATTCTGGAAAAAAAAAGTTGAGAAAGAAAGAAGTTAGAGGAGAGTGCAGTGCATCTAAAAGATCAGTCAAAATATTTTTGAAGACTGCGAACTTACAGGGCCAGCGCTGTTGTGATTGGTCGTATTACGGTGTATTGAAGAATACCATGTCGACAGGAACTTATAAAACGCCTAAAATGAAATAACACAAGCATTGGTCGAACAGACATGTATGAAGTAATGTTTGTTGTTCTGTAAGCATCACAATTCATAATTAAGTATCCGAACTAATTAGACTGGCTCCTATTTGCACGTACTAGCAACATCAGAGAAGGGTGCACCAAGAGCATAGGGTTCAGTTTTTACAGCAGCTTTAAAACAAAATCTTGACCAGGGACATTCTTTGATGAACTCATCAAAATCACATTTTCTTGGTGGCACAGGAACTACTGAACAATAGCAGTTTAAACCGCCAATACTTGCTGCAGCATCTCAGCCCGTAGCTTGCCGTCTCTGGTTAGATGTGCAGCCACTGTGGCTGCACTCCATTAAATAGAAAATCTATAAACAGTGGTCTGTATATTGCCCCGCCGCGGTGGTCTAGTGGCTAAGGTACTCGGCTGCTGACCCGCAGGGCGCGGGTTCGAATCCCGGCTGGGGCGGCTGCATTTCCGATGGAGGCGGAAATGTTGTAGGCCCGTGTGCTCAGATTTGGGTGCACGTTAAAGAACCCCAGGTGGTCTAAATTTCCGGAGCCCTCCACTACGGCGTCTCTCATAATCATATAGTGGTTTTGGGACGTTAAACCCCACATATCAATCAGTGGTCTGTATAGATTTTGATGAGCAGTATATATATATCTGGGGTCAGTTTGAATAGATAAATGTTTTCAGTGGTAGATATTCTGTACAGTCGAAATGTTTTGTGGTGATGACAATAATTTTATGCACAGAAAGCTGTTGTTGAGCAACAAACCAGTGAACCATAGACAAAATCTTTTGTTTCCAACACTTGATATCGCACTTAGAGGGACAATGATGTCATACTGGCTCGGACATTGATATGTTAGCAGTGAGCAGCTTTTTTTAAAACAAAGAAGTTTGTACCGATGGCAAAGTGCTCCATATTATCAGTGCTAGTGTGCCAAAGTTTGTTTGAGAGACTTTGTTCGTCACACCTAAAATTACCGCACAAAGTTATAGTATATACGTAGTATGGTGCTTTTGGTGCGTAGCTAAGAACCTAGAGTGTTATAAGCTAAATATGCAGCTCTTCCCTATCACATGTCTTAAGGCCCAGTGTGCAGTTTCAAGATGTTGAGACCCCATTACTTGACCTTATTCCACCATTAAATCTGCTTAAAGACACTAATAGTAAGCTAGTTCCGAGTAGAAATTCCTCTGCTTTTTACAGATGGTAGAAAAATACATGCAATACACTAGAAGGAAGGCTTACAATCCCCCTGGGCAGGGCCGTAGAAAGCAGAGTGGAAAAATGTGCTTCACAGATGGCCTGTGCTCATCCATAGATATTTCCATCTCCAGCTCTCGGTGCAAAAAGTTCAACAGGAACACCATGAAGTTGTATATAACATAAGCCTCGTAGCACTCCCTAATTGTGTCAAGGTATATCCCAGTCTTTGGCCATGTGAGGGCAAGCCACTGCAGCAGGAGAAAAAGCAAAACGGAACTGAATGATAAGTCACGGAGCAGCCAGTCACTTACATTTAAGTACAATAGGGATAGTACTTACGCAGTTGAGTGAATAGATTGGTACCATCCATAGGATCCTGCAAGCAAAAAAAAAAAAACACGCCATAAAAATAGTTCACGTAACTGCTGGCAGTTCCTTTTTCTTCTATCATAATAAAACATAAAGGAGCCCCGCCGCAGTGGCCTAGTGGCTAAGAAAGGTATGCGGCTGCTGACCCGCCGGTCGCGGGATCGAATCCCGGCTGCGTTTTCGATGGAGGCAAAAATGCTGCAGGCCCGTGTGCTCAGATTTGGGTGCTCAGATTTGGGTGCACGTTGAAGAACCCCAAGAGGTCGAAATTTCCAGAGCACTTCACTACGGCATCTCTCATAATCATATGGAGGTTTTGGGACGTTAAACCCCACAAATCAATCAATAAAACATAATGAAAGCAAGGTTAAGCAAGATGTCTCTGCATTTTTGCTACGATGGCAAAATCTAGATGGTCCTTTGCGATGCAGCAAATCTTGCAGGTTTTTCAGGTACACAGAATAAAATTTGCCAGACTAACAGATGCTGAAAGTATTTTTAGGCTGATAATACATTTTGTAAAAGATATTCATTTTTTCTCTTCATGATAATGATTGCAAATTTTAAGTTGATTATTTGCAGCAGCTAAATATATGCACGATAAAAAGACCAAGAAAGACTCATCACTTCTGTTTGCATAAAGCCTAATTCATAGTATAAGGGCACTTTAAATGCTAGTAATAACGACAACTGCCTTCTTAACCATGAAATATCACTTCCTTCACTGGTTGCATAAAAAAGTCCCAGTTTCGGCACAAGGCCGAAGCAAGGAATGCGATAGCAACACATCGTGTTATTATACGAAGTAAGGCTAAGAGATTTAGGAACCATACAAAATATAGTGAACACTGTTGATTGTGCTTGAACTGACAGTAATGTAGTAACCACAATACTTCAACAGGTGTTGTTGTGAATAGTTGACTGCGGATGTCTGGCAGGAGACAAAGTCCAAGTTTGGCATCGAGAAACGCGAAAAGCTACTGGTTTTCCCATCGAAGTAAATTCACAGTGCAACTATTTCCTCTTTCACCAGTGAAATCCTTTATGCTGATGAGAATGATGTGGTCTGCGGCCAGAACCTATCACCTTCGACCAAGCAACACGATCCGACGCCACAATCAAGAAACTTCAGCACAGTGCCAAGCGAAAGTGTCGCGTTGACCTCGAAGCAGCGCCACTTTTTTTTTTTTTTTATACCTATGTTGCCAGCACATGGAGCGTTTTTTGGAGTAGCGAATTGAGTAGGCACATAGCACGGAAGTTGTGCAGTAAGAAGTTTATGACGTCAGTTCGCAAGGTTCCTGGTGAGGTGTACAGTGCTGCGACGACGAATCCGCTTCATCCATTAACGGTGCAAGCAACACCACAACTCATCTGGGGCAGTGAGCAAGTTGAGTTTGTCCGTCCTAAGTGATAGTGGCAGAGTGCATTTCAATGGCAACCAAATTCACAGGCATGATAAGACTAGGAACTTTTCTAATAGTCCTGGACTTGATGCCAGCAATTTATCCTGTTGCTTCAGAGTGAAAGTGGAGCCAGAGACATTTTGGAATGCCCCTTTTATTGAGCTGTATGTGCTTCAGTGAACCCACCCCTTTATTGACCAAGCCATCGGACACCTCAATGATTGGGGAAATCATGAATAGCTTGTCCGAACGAAGTACATGCTTTGTTCCAGATGCTTCTTTTTGAGTCCATTGACAGTAAGCCAGTGGTAAATGGTGTATATTCATAGCTTGCCGTTAGTGAGATGGACAGTATCAGCGTTGTGGCCTACTTGGTTGGTGCAGCGCACTGAGGAACTAGGGGTCGCTTGTTTTAATCTCCGGTCGGTGCCTTGGAGTTTTTCCCTTCCGATTTATTTTTCTTTCTTCCTTTTATAAATATATACATACATATACATATCCGACACATGATGGCAATGGCAAAAATCAGAGGATAATGTCTACATAATTGCTATCGCAACAATACTGACTGCTTCACAGAGCCATTGCATGTGCTAATGCCATCGCTGTTATTTCCCTTGCTGCTCGATGCACTGCACCACATATCTTATACAAATAAGCAATTTGTTTTCACTACACTTTACAGAAGCATGGCAAAACAAGAATGTTGAATTAAAATGTTGACAGCCACTTGAAAAAACGGAAAGCCAAGTTGCATTTTTTTAAACTTAAATACATGTATCCGTATCTTGCGTCCTCTTAGTTGCAGTCTTTTAAGAAAAGTTATCTCACTGGATTGGTTCGACGTACGTATTGAGTTCCGTTTTTGTCCCCTCAGCATATTGAAAGAGCAAACAATGGTACATGTACCTACCTGTTAATCGCTATAACATCAATGTTCATCATTCCCTTTGATTGTACCCCACAAGAATAGCTCATACCTGCTCCAGCAGATTGGCCAAAAATAGGATGAAATTACCACACATTGTGTTTTCCAAAGCCTTCACTTTATACTGAGCGTCACCTTATTCTCCTCCCCTATTGCAGGCAAACGTCAGCACATACGTTCGGTTCAGCAAACCAGCACTCTTCATAATGCATGCAAGTCCCCTGGTTGAAACACTGGCTCCTTCAACTTTCTTTGTTCGAACACCATATGCTCTTTACATTTTCTCAATTCCACATGCTCTTGGAACCGTATAATAATTGGTACAGTTGTCCCACAAGGCGCTCAACACCACGCTTGTTCCTTTCCTGTGCATCTGCTGTGCTTGCTCACAAGCAGGTGTTCAATATCCTGTGAAATGATGCAAATGACACAACTGGCTTGAGCAGTGGGGTATCTACACAAATATCGCAAGAACAATCGAAAAAGACATTGTATAGTTATATGAATTTACCAAAATTATTTTGTCATTAATTTAATTTCTGGCAAATAAAATATTTTTAAAACTTTATTATTTTCTGTATATTGTAGCATGCAGCGCTAATTAACGTTTCATTAGCGGGCAGGCATCTCAATTCTTGTATATATTCAAAGAGCCTAGCGAACGCGAACCATTCATTTGATTTTGCCACACCATGTGCGAAATTTGTTGCTAAGGCAGAAGGCAATAAGGTAAGTAAAAAAGCGATGAATATGTAGCAGCCCTCGTTACACCGAACAGGAAACGAGATATGCACCTACCTAATTATGTGCTTCTGGAGGTGTGGCTTCGTGTAGTTAAGTATGTGCTGGATTATTTCCCAGAAAGTTATGGGAAGAGTCAAGAGAACAAAAACGCCACTGCTGAACCAGGCCTGAACGTCTGCACTGGCACCTTTGTTCATGAGCTGGACGCTGATAAGTGGAACCACAACAAGGATCACAAGCCCGTAGGCCAGGGCTACGACAAACTGTATCCACAGTTTCCATCTTGAGAGACACCAGGAGAAGGGCATGGCGTTATCGGCGTCCTCTTCTCACGTCTTGCACGATATAAACAAACTCGTATCGCTAAATTGAAGTGAGTGGTCGAAATGACGCATAGCTGGCACCACCACCCAAATTCGACGACGGAGACGCCACCCGTTAGCTCGTTGATGGCAATCCACAGACCGCGTACGGCGCTCTTTTCGCACTACAGGGATACTTTATCACGCGAACCATCACTAACAGTTACAGGCGGATTCCGCACGCAGCAGCGGCACTGCGAGACATGAAACTGAAGAACATAGAACATGCTACAATCACAGCGTAGAGCCCATACAGCTGTAAACTCGTCGCCATTACGTCACTACGTATGTGTGTTGCATGATAGAGAGATGAGGGTAGCGACAAGTGGAATAATTGCCCTTATAATGAATTCAATTTTGTCAAACACACAATTCGGAAATAAATATTACATCAAAAACCACATGAGAATGTAATGTGTTGCATCATATAATTATCTGCTATAATTCTCAAGTGCCTACGTTGACTACATCATGTTTCGCTTCACGAAGGCGCTGTAGACCTCGAAACGAAACAAGCGAAGTGCGAACATCCCTCCTGTTGTTTCCTCTCTTCAAGAAGGCAATGCTCTCGCCTGCGCCCTTTCTCTCTGTTATCGTAGACGTGATTCTTGGCGAATCGCTCATTCGCCTGCTGTGCGGTAGTTTTCGGGTCTCGCCCCTCCCGACTTGCCGGAATCTTCAGCGGTTTATTCGCACCTTGCGTGATTGTGCGCACACGCTGCAGACACTGAACGCACCCTTTTACGGCGTGAGTTCTAATGGCAAACATTGCCTCCTGTGTACATTACAACGAAATCGAGAGCTTTCTCATCTTTACCGAGGAATCGCCAGTGTCTGGGCGCGCTACGTGGTGAGTTTGAAACAGATTCGCCGAGGTGATAGCATGTCACGTTGACGTGTCAACCTGTTGATCTTTCAGAGTGTGCACGATGCTGTTCCTGCTCATCAGTTTCTTCGTCCTGTGCCTCCCCTTGGCTCTTCCCTTGCTGTGGCTGCGAATAAGAGCAGTCAGACGCGCTAGTCGCCAAAGGTTTGGAGAAGCACCGCAGACATGGGGATTCTTTCACCCCTACGCCGATGCATGCGGAGGTGGAGAGAAGGTGCTTTGGGCTGCAGTTCGAGCGGTCCAAGAAAAGTAAGTGCGGTTGTTTCTTTCAAATATGTATTCCCTCTGATATGGTGAGGTGTAGACAAATCGGGAGAGAATGCAGACATGAGACTTCAGGTTTTGTGAACAAGTGCACAGACATTTCCGTGTGCCGAATGCTCTACCAACAGGACATGATGCTTTAATTTTTTTTTTGCTTAGGACAGACAATTCATATCTCATTTATGACTTTGCAGGTACCCGAGCCATCACTGCATTGTGTATACAGGTGACCATGGTGTATCCGGGGACCAGATAGTTGAAAAAGCCCAAAAGCGTTTCAATGTCAAGCTTGAGAAGTCCACTCTTCACTTCGTGTTCCTTCACAGCCGTTCGCTAGTTGAAGCACGACTGTATCCAGTATTCACTATATTAGGTCAGAGCCTCGGATCGATGATAGTGGGCCTAGAAGCCATCCTCAGCTTTGTACCTACCATATTCATCGACAGCACTGGCTATGCATTCACAATGCCCATATTCAAGTTCCTTGGCGGTTGCAAGGTAATGTGCTACACACATTATCCAACTATCAGCACAGACATGTTGAGCTCTGTTGAAAGGAGAGTACAGGCTCACAACAACAGGGGACTCATCTCGAGAAGTGCAGTGCTTACACCCATCAAGCTGCTGTATTACCGCATGTTTGCCAGGCTATACGCATACTGTGGTTGGTGTGCTGACCTCGTGATGGTCAATTCTAGCTGGACAAAGGGGCACATCCTTGAGCTGTGGCAGCTGCCAACGCGAACTGTCCTGGTGTATCCCCCGTGCAGTGTTGCTGAGTTTAAAGCATTGCCCGTTACTGAAAAAGACAGCGCGTCGAGTGCCGAATTCAGGGTGCTTTCCTTGTCACAGTTTCGTCCAGAAAAAGACCATGAGTTGCAGCTAAAAGTGCTGGTTGAGCTCAAGGAGCAGTTGTCTGAATCAGAGTTTTCCAAGATTAAGTTCGTGATGATAGGTGGCTGCAGAAACCAGGAAGATGAGCAACGGGTCATCAGCCTCAAGAGCCTTGCCGCAGAGATGGGCATAGAAGACTATGTGGAGTTCAAGCTCAATGTTCCCTTTACAGAGTTGATGTCTGAAATGAAGAGAGCATCTGCAGCCATACATACTATGTGGAATGAGCACTTTGGAATGTGTAAGTATTTTTCTCACACTCGTAACTGTGCGCGTTTACAAATCACTTATCTTGCACTTCTTATATGTGTTTACAATCCACATATCTTACATTTCCCATAGTGAACATGCATATTTTCTGCCTCTACATGAACCATTGATATACAGCCCCTATTAAGCCAAATAATGAAGCCAAAACTATAGCAATTCAAATTTAGCTAATCAGTCTGTAAAAAGCAAACATTGTGCACTTTCAAAGTATATAAAAAAGTATACTAGTACATTAAAATCACTTCGGTGAGAAGTTTCCCACTCCTCTGGCAAAAGCAGTAAGATGCTTTAGGTATCGGTTTAAGGAAGAAAGTGTCTGTGAATTGCTCCCTGTAGAAATAGATGAAAGCTTGATTTCCAGCCTGGTTATCGGTGTGGCTAGCAGTTTGTATCTCTGGAAGGATGATGCAGTAATGATACGAAGTGTCATTACCAAGAAAAACAAGGGAAGTGCGGGTAGAAAAGGAAGACAACGTTGCTTCTACTGTGATCGCGGTCTCAGTGCCCATTAAGAACCCCCTTAAGTTACCTCACCTTACGTAAAAGTTTGGTGGAGGTGCTGGGTAGGACGAACCCAAAGACAGGAGCTTCACTACCAGGACTTCGTCGCAGCCGCCTCCTCGCCGGAATCCCACCTTCACCGATCGTAATGGCCCAAGAGCAGCCATCTAATGCTTGGGTTCCGTGCCGTACCACAGAGTGCCACCAAACTTCGGCGGGACCTCAGGAGAAGACGTCGACGTGTGGCTCAAAACTACAAGCGAGTGAGCAGAAGCAATGGCTGGGACTCGAACGAACAGCTCAATCATGTTGTATTCTCGTTAACTGACACCGCCCTCATGTGGTACGAGAACCACGAGGACATGTTCACGACTTGGGAACGTTTTGTTGAAGAAGTGCAGAAGTGCTTCGGTGATTCTGACACGAAGAAACGCACGGAGCAGACATTGTCTCAGAGGCCACAGCTACCAGGAGAAACATGCATGACGTACATTGAGAAAATCTTGAAGCTGTGCAAGATTATGAATGCAAGGATGTCTGAAGAAGACAAAGTTGGACACGTTCTCAAGGGTATAGCCGAAGACGTATACAATTTCTCAATTGGGAAAGACTGCCTGAACTCCGTGTCTGACGTGATGAAGCACTGTCGCACCTATGAATCCCTCAAGATGCGACGAATTTCTCCGAAATTTGGCCGCCTGTCCAGCGTCCCCACTGCGGCTAGTGTTGAAACAGTGCTGCCTAATGACCTTGCTTCGACCATACGGCAGATTGTCAGAGAAGGGCTGCTTCGATGTTAGCAGACCTGTCATCGCACCAGCGATTTTCAGGGTGTGTACGCAAGCGACCCAGAACGTGTGCGGACTCCTGTTTTTCTTCCACCATGGCAACCATTGATCAACGCAGCAGATGCTTATGAATATCAAGGCACACGGCAGGCTGGATTCCCACGTCAACCACCTCCAAATTACGAAGTTTTTGCCCGCCTGGTTACCCAACATCGCCTGCCTACGGTGCCCCTGAAGAGCGGCACCACTATCCCATGCCTTCCGAAAAGAGTCGTTACTCTGAGCAGCCACATGCCCCTCGACAAATTCCGGTGTGCTACAGCTGTGATGTTCCATGTCTAATCGCACGTTTTTGTGACCACCGCTTATATCAGCGGCAGCCTTAGTACATGTCTCACCAACCTTTCGACCATCCGCTCTCCACGTCACGGAAACCACGCGCATCTACCGGGTAATGCTATGCCTCGCCGGCCTCTGATCGAAGTTTGATGCCACCACCAGCTCCACGTGCTCCACGAGCGTCGTCGCCACGACGACGCACATGGCCACCGCCGCCGGAAAACTAGCCGGTGTGGTCAGTGGGGGTGAGGCCGTGATCACAGGCGCTATCTACAGATATACCCCCGTCAGTGTTTATGTTGAAGAAGAGAGTTCATGTAGTTGTTGATGGAGTGGTTACTATGGCGCTTGTGGATACAGGTGTGACAGCCTCAGTCAAGAGTGTAAATTTTAAGAACCTGCTAGGACCTAAAGTGATGTTTTGCCTGAACCATGGCGTGACATTTCGTGGTGTAAATGGTGACGCGTTGTGTCTGGTGGGATATTATACTGTGGACATCTCGCTGTGTGGCAAGGTGTTTTGCACAGACTTATTCCACGGTCTACACATGACGTTATCTTGGGTATCAACTTCTTGTGTGGGGCAACTGTAGACTGCAGAAGTGGGCACCTTTCCGTACACGGTACTTTCCCAGTGGCGCTCTTGGAAAATTCCTGTCCGGATGAACGCATCTTTTTCGTCTCCATGGACACAGTCGTTTCTGCATTTTCTGCTGTGTGTGTTCCTGTGATATGTTCCAATAACAACTGTGCCTGAAAAAGAACATCCTCATTCCCCATTCTATAATGTCAGTCGTTGATGGACGAGCAGGTGTGTGAACAATGAACAGTTCCATGGAGCCTGCAGTTTTGGCAGGCGGCATGAAACTTGCAGTATTTAGACCCGAATCATCTCTGACGCTGGTTGCGCTTGTTGATGCTACAAGCCAAAATGAATATCTAGGCTCACAAGGTTCATAGGAAGCCCAATTGCTACAAATGGTCAGCAAGTCACTTGACCAAAGCGAACGTCATACACTGGTCGACGTTCTATCTAAGCACTCGAAAGTGTTTGATTTTTCTAAAAACAGCCACAGGCCCTTAATTGCAGCGTCCCGGATACGTCATCAGATCCACACCAAGTCGGCGCATCCCATTAGGCAGAAACCTTATCGAGTGGCACCATCCGAATGCAAGATCATCAACGAGCAAGTCTAAGAAATGCTGGAAAAGGGAATAATACAGGAATCAACAAGTCCTTGGGCTGCTCCCGTTATTCTAGTGAGGAAGAAAGATGGTACGTGGAGATTTTGCGTTTACTACCGCCGACTGAATTCTATTAGCAAGAAAGACGTCTATCCACTGCCGCACATCGATGATGCTCTAGGCTGCCTGCATTCCACATCCTACTTTTCATCCGTTGACCTGAGATCAGGTTACTGGCGAATTCCAATGCACGCAGCTGACAAAGAAAAGACAGCATTTGTTACGACCTACGAGCTTTACGAGTTTGGCGTTATGCCATTCGGATTATGTAATGCTCCTGCGACATTCGAAAAATTTATGGACTCTATATTGCGTGGTTTAAAATGGCATATATGCATGTGCTACCTTGACGGTGTCGTAATTTTTGGACATACGTTTGAGGAGCACAACACTCGCCTAGACCTTGTACTCAATTGCATTGAAAAAGCTGGCCTTGTATTGAATTCAAAAAAGTGCCACTTTGGCGAGCGACAGACATTGGTTTTGGGACATCTCGTCGATAAAGATGGCATTAGACCTGACTCACAAAAGACAGTGGCGGTTGAATCGTTCGAGTGCCCTGAATCTGTGAAACAACTGCGTAGCTTCATCGAGCTCTGCTCGTATTTCTGCCGGTTCGTACCCAAGTTTGCGGATGTCGTTCACCCCCTGACGAGCCTTCTACGCAAGTTTCAGTGGATCTCCAAGTGTGATGCCGCTTTTCATCAGCTGAAGTACTTGTTAACTTCGCAGCCAATACTTCAGCACTTCAATCCTTCGTCGCCCACGGAAATTCACACAGACGCAAGTTGCATTGGTATCGGCGCCGTTCTCGTTCAGCGTTCTGGTAAGAAGGAACAGGTCGTGGCGTACGCAAATCGTTCTTTAAGCAAGCCTGAACGCAACTACACAGTGACTGAACAGGAATGCCTAGCCGTAGTCTCTGCCGTGCAATGGTTTCGCTCATACATCTATGATCGCCTGTTCACTATCGTCACAGATCACCATTCCCTGTGTTGGCTGGTCAATCTTCGTGACCCATCCGGCCGCCTCGCACGATGGGCCATTTGTTTGCAAGAATATGTCTTCACCATTTCATAAAATACTGGCCGTCTACACGCTGATGCGGATTACTCTCTAGGATGCTGCTAGCGACGACAGATTGTGAAGCCAATAACTTTGACCACCTTATTGCTTCTGTGTTGTTTGGCTTTCCCAATGCCGTGACTTTCACCGCTGAGCAGCGTAATGACCTAAGCTTGAAAGCTCTCTTCCCTGGAGCAAGGAAGTCAATAAGTGAAGGCCGATTCTGCGTCCGAAATGGTCTTCTTTACCAGAGAAACTTGTCCACGATGGGTTCCCACTTTCTCGATGAGTTCCTGTTGCATTAAGTCATTCTCCGACACGGGCCACCTCGCGTGTGAGCGGCAATTTACCGCTGATATTGTGGAATCATTACTTTGTTTATGTGCCTCCAAGTTCCGACACCCAACTGCGTATCATCTACAAACTAACGGCCTGACCGAGCACAGAAACCGAACGTTCGTCAACATGTTGTCAATGTACATTGCCTCCGACCACAATAACTGGGATGAAGTATTACCATTCATCACGTACGCCTTCAACACGGCGAAACACGAAATGACAGGCTACAGCCCTTTTTATCTGCTCTACGCTCGCTCACCTCGACATACGCTGGACACTATCTTTCCTTTTGTTGTCCATGATGATTTCACAATTGCGGAAACTTTGTGTCATGCGTAAGAGACACGTTGACTTGCCTGCTTACGAACACTGGCAGCGCAAGAGTCCTCCAAAGCTCGCAACGATAGTGAACACGGGCATGTAACCTATGCCCCCGGTGATGTAGTGTGGGTGTGGACCCCAATACGCAGACGTGGCCTGAGCCAAAAGCTACTGGCACACCACGCGGGTCCGTTCGTGATACTCCATCATCTCAGCGAGGTCAACTATGAAATTGCACGTGTTGCCACTAGTGGCCGACGTTCATGCAAGACAGAGGTGACTTATGTTACCCGCCTAAAGCCGTTTACATGAAGGATACAAGAATGACTCGCCCAGAGCGCTTCGTCTGAGACAGGAGGAATGATACGAAGTGTCACTACCAAAAAAAACAAGGGAAGCGCGGGTAGAGAAGGAAGACGACGTTGCTTCTACCGTGATCGCGGTCTCAGTGCCCATTAAAAATCCCCTTAACGTACCTCACCTTACGTAACAGTAAGCTAGCACATTCAAAGCACTTCAATGAGACTTCTTCAGAGAGAGAGAAAAAAGTAAAGTAAGGACAGAGAGGTTAATCAGAAGACGCCTTCAACTTGGTACCCTGTACTGGGGAAAGGAAAGGGGATGTAAGAGATTCCTTCTTTTTCATGCTGGAAAGGGCTACCCTGTACTGGGGAAAGGGAAGGTGCTGTAAGAGATGCCTTCTTTTTCATGCTTGAAAGGGCTGGAGATGTCCAGTCCCGTTAGCAGCAGCAATAAGGTGCTGAAGGCATCAGTTAAAAGACAGAAGTGCCTGTGAAGTTTGGTCCTGTGGTTTCCAGCTGAATATTGGCATAGCTAGTCAAGTTCGAAGATGTCTATTCAACTGAAAGAAAAGAAACTTCTGTGTCACTGATTCTTCTTGAGGTGCAATAGAAATGCTTAATCTAAATTTTTCAATAATGACACCGGGACCCTTCACTTACGGGTTCAATATGGCTGTATGTGAACCTCGGCATTTACAAGACCAGTTGTTATAGATATGCGCACTGGCTTTACCACCTATCTTTTACCTAATGTCTCTACAGTTATGCAAACTCATTTTCATGGACGTTGTATACAAAGTAAGATCAGTCTTACTGAAAACTGTTGTGATGACTAAGTAACAATTTTATAAAATCATGTAAAGTTTGAATGAAAATGCCAGTTACGCTTTCAGCTACAGGTCCAGCTCTGCATGTTTTGATTTCGCTCGCAGCTTATACTTCTTGCCTCAAGGCATGCTTAGTAGTATAGACCCTCGTTAAACAGAATCATAAGAGAGCAAAAAATTATGTTTAATGGGAGTTTCCATACTAATAAATATGTGTTCAAATGCAACTCTGCCTTTACATAACCCATTTGCATTAAAATTACGATTTTTTTTTGCTTCCGTACCTTTAACCACTTTTTAGGCAGGGCATTGTCTATAGAAAACAGGTGCAAAAAGATTTGTCTGATCTGTTGTTCTTTCTGTAAAACAGCGTTTTAGCACATGCACTGCTAATTTCACTTCTTAAAGGGACCTTGACATTGCCAGCATCTCCATTTACAGAGTGACATGAAGTTTTTGATTAACGAAGTTTATACAAAACCAACCTAATTTGTAGTTGAATTGGTATTTTTGTTTAAGAGGTCTTTTATTGGGAGGCTCCTGTGGAATATCAAGTTTCATGTAAGGATCTTCTAAATAGAACATGTAATTTTAGTGTGTACATGTGTCATGTCTTTTTCTTTTATATTTTCCAGGCGTCGTTGAATGCATGGCTGCAGGCCTTCTCATGGTCGCTCACAATTCCGGAGGGCCCAAAATGGACATAGTGACCGATTACAATGGCAAGCGCACTGGATTTCTCGCGGACAGTGTTTCCAGCTACACAGCTGCCTTCAAAACCATCCTTGAAATGGCGCCTGATGAGAGAAGAGAGACTAGAGAAAATGCAAGGCTTTCATCTGAAAGGTTTTCTGAGGAGGTTTTCGTTGAAGCTTTCGTATCTGCGGTTGAGCCTCTGGCTTCAAAGTTGAATTGATGACTGCTGCGCATCACCACTCATTGTTTGATTTAAGCGAATGTTGCCAAATAAACACTAATTTAAACAAAAGAAAGTGTGTGTAGTTAGCAACTGTGCATCATGCTCGTGCAATAATACAGTGCGGCTGGCCTGCAAAAGCCAGTGGGCAGCACGGAAAAACTTGGGTTTTGCCCTTCCCTTGTTTCACTGTCATGCTTCTCACTTGGACTTGGCTTGTATTAGCGCAGCACATGTGAAAAAAGTAAAAGACTACACAGATATGCCTATAACGTCTACCTTTCTTGACGTCAGTGCAGTCTTTTCCTTTTTTTAGATGTGCTGCACTAATACAAGCTAAGCCCTTGGATAACCAACTCGCCCGAGCCACAACACTTCTGATGCTTCTTGCACAGAGATGTGCGCTTCCTTTTAGTTTAGTACTCTCCGCGAGGATAAGCCAGTCTTGATACTCAGTAAGAAGCATAAAAGAGTGCCCCAAAAGAGGCTTGCTTTCTGGTGTGGCTAGACTGTTGACCCATAAGTGGTTGCCCTCTTCACCTGATATACCATGCGAACTAGGTCAGTCTGTGCTTAGTTTGTATTTAAAGTCAAATATATTTTCTACTTAAAAATATATTTTCAGCTTAAATTGAGGACGACGCAGCAAGCAATAGAAAGAAAAATGGTAGGTGTAACCTTAAGAGACAAGAAGAGAGCAGAGTGGATTAGGGGACAAACGGGGGTTAAGGATATCATAGTTGAAATAAAGAAGAGGAAATGGACATGGGCCGGGCATGTAGCGTGTAGACAGGATAACCGCTGGTCATTAAGAGTAAAAGAAGAAGATAGCTTTTGCCTTCAAGTCGTCTTAGACGAATACATAAAGGACCCTGTGAGCTTTTGCTTTTGTAGAAATAGTCATTTTAGCAGGTGTTGTCTGGTCAACTCGCTATCTGCAGCCATCTGCGATACAGATTAGGGGCATTGAAAGATATGAAACAACCTGAGAGCGACTAGATATAGGATTTGCTTATGGCCACAGCTGCACAAGAGCGCTTTTCTCAAACTAAACGGCAATTCTGAGTCAGGGTGAGCTATGGGCTCTCTTTCGTTTCCAAGTGATTCTAGGATTTCATGAGCTTCAGTGAATCAGTGTTTGATGTCCTGAGCCTTGGTATTTGTATAAGTGTGAGTGCAAGTCTGAGTGGTCGTGTGTCTAACTTGGACTACTTTTTCGACATCTGAGGTAGCTTGGCTGGATGTTATTTCCAGCGAGTGAGTATGAATGAGCTTTGTATTCAGTTGGGTTTGTTGTTTATTCAATATACAGGGGAACAGAGAATAAATTGGATGAATATAAGCTCAAAGAAAGACGCCCATCAGAACAGCTGGATACAGCTTGAGAAGTTCGGAGAGGCCCCGCACACGAGACCGAAGCACGGTAGGAGATCGACTTCAAGAAATAGTCCCAGTTATGCACTCAACAGTGTTCTCCGAAGGTGGGCTAGCTGGCTGCATGGCTCATGATGTCAGTCTGGAGTGCACACCCACTGGGGCAGGCGTGTGTGCATCTGGCTTTGACAAAATGCCGCTGACTTCTAAAGCTGTGTTTGGCTATAAGTGCATGTCCGTCTTGGTGATGGATTTATGCACCATTTCCTCGCAAGCTGAATGAGCCAAACTGTATGTGGTCTTGGGCAGTGTTGCATTTGAGCGAAACTTGCCCTCAATTTATGATAAGCCTGAGTTCAAGTGAGCGAGATTGAATATTGTTTCGGCAAGTCTGAGTGACTTTTAACCTAAAAACATTTATGTAAATCTCAGTGAGCTTGATTTGATTTGAGATTTGGTTTATTTCGCCATAATCGATACATAATAATCTATACAATTTTAACAAAGGTCGTATAGGAAAAAAGAAAAGTATCATTCATGGTGAGGATATCAGGGTAAAAGCTGCAATATCTGCAGCTTGACAAGCCCTACCACCCCGACACAATGGCAGCAACGTGCGGTACAGAGAGAGGTTTACTTGAGGCAAACATTTCAACTCGCACTGCAAAAATCAAGACACACTCAAGAAGCCTTTTTCATGGAAAGCTAAACATTTAAAGAAACGAGACTTAAAATAGAATTTTTAGGCATTACACGTAAACTATTGCTTGTTAATTTGAACTGTCTTAATACACTTTTTGAGAAGATAATTGTCCTTCAATTAAAACGCTTTCTGGTTGACAACGACATCATATGCCCACAACAGCACGGATTCGTTCCCACTAGGTCTACTGTATCAGCCATTCTAACCCTCTCGCACAATATAATCACTGCACTCCACAACGGTGAAATCGCAATAGCAATCTTCCTAGATATTAAAAAGGCATTCGATACAGTTCCCCACGACATACTATTACAAAAACTTGAAAGTTATGGCTTCAGTGACAGTTCACTCCAGTTCTTCTCAAGCTACTTGTCCTCGTAACAAAAAGTGGTGATTAACAATAACGAATCTGCATACAGCACAATAGTGTGTGGAGTGCCCCAGGGATCCGTATTAGGCCCAGTACTTTTTTTCTCTGTACATAAATGATTTTCCCAAAACACTAGTGTACTCTAAAGCATTATTGTACGCGGACGATACCGCCATAGTATTCACAGGAGATAGTCTCTCAACACTGCAAGCCAACATAATGTCTGAATTGACACACGTAAACAACTGGTTTATACAGAATAAATTGACACTACATTCGGGGAAAACGAAGTATGTTGTTTTTCAATCAAGGCGAAAGGATATTGACACGGCGTCTATGCAACTTTACCTGAACAACAGTCCTATCGAACAAGTGATTTCTTTTAAATATTTAGGAGTGTTTTTTGACCAGCACCTTCACTGGGAAGAACAAATTCATAGTGTTTGTAGAAAGGTGGCTTTTGGTTGTTATACCTTAATCAAAGCACGCGAATGCTTTCCCCCCAGCGTGCTTCGAACATTGTATTTTTCCTTCTGTCATTTACATATTAGCTACTGTATTGAATCGTGGGGTGTAACGTATATGACATACCTAGAGCCATTACTACCACTACAAAAGAGAGCCCTAAGCATAATAGGTGGAAACCATGGAAATTCATATAAAACTACATATCAGGAACAACAAATCTTACCAGTTTGGGCACTTCGCAATTATAAAATTGCCCTTTTTGTTCAGAGAATTATAGGCACTAGCTTTCCCCTCTCCTCCACTCTATTTACAATACCATCGCGAAACACTAGACACGCATCGAATGGCAATTTTAACTTACCTACAAGCTATAACTTATATGGGAAACGCTTATTGAAATTTCATGGGACTAAAATTTGGAACCGACTACCCTTAGAAGTTAAAGTGGCAAGAAATTTTAAGCACAGTGTAAAATTATTTTGCTTGTAGCATCAAGACATATAAATAGGCTTTTTTTTTTTCACTTTCTCCTAGGCTAATTAGTGCTTTTACCCAGTCACTTATTATATATGACGATGATGATGAAACAAACTATATTTGGCTATGTTGTGAAATTGCATATATGTACACGCACTTATGTATGTAGTATGTATGTGCATATGTGAATAGTTATATGTATAAATAATTGTGTATATATGTGTTTAAATATGCTCTGCTAAGCTGCTTTTATGTACTCCGATATGGACCGATCACTAGCCAATGTAGGCTAACGGTCCAGATATCTTGTAATCTTTTTTTTGGTTTGTCAATAAAAATCAGATTGATTGATTAAAAAAAACTTAATTAGTACAGTGGGTAGGTGAAATTGTCGTAGCTGTGACCCATAGTTTGTACGGACCATGGGGTGTACCAGTTAACAGTGTTTCTCGAACGTGTAGTTGGATTTCTAGTTAAATTTGCAAATGCAACTGTGAAACATCGTATAACTTAAGATTGAGTGCTTTTGAGAAATACTTGCAGTGGTGTACAGTTTCCAGTTCGCAGCTGTAAATTAGGGGTGCAATCGAGAAATCATTCTATTTCTTCTTTCTATTCTTTTCGTCGCCATTAGCCATCTGCAATTGGTCGAAGCAATGCTTCTACCAATCGCTGTCTGTACAGCAGCATACATCGCAGACCAGTTCTGGACTACTCTAAAATATTAAGCATCATTACACTTTTACTTCACAAATGCACCTTGGCATCACAAGTAAGATGTACACCGGGCATGAAGGTTGAAAAAATGCCATGCGATAACTTGGCTCATTCATCAATTGAATATTGTGTTTTGGTGCCTCAGAAGCTCTCCTATGTCTTTGCATCTCAGAACGTCATCCATGCTCATCTTTACAATGCTTTTTTCTTCATTCACTTGAGGGACATTCTGTAGTACTGCTTGCACCAATCCTACCGTTGACAGAAATGCCTCTGTCATTGTGGGTTTCACCGAAAAGAGTTTAGCCTCCCAGAGAGTCGATGCAGCAGAAGAGGTCTTGAACAGCGAGTCACAGATAACGAGCTTGCAATCCTCCAACTGACCTAACCTCTTTCCAAAGTAGGACAGTTCCCTTGCATCACGTGCTGCCGTCTTCAAGTCATCGTCAATTCCAAATGCCAGTGTGACGTACCCTTTGCAAGTGTCGCTTTTCACACTGACGGTGAATATTATGGCCTTGCCTGGAACTTCCACAACTCTGCCGGCTAGATTTTCCACTCGAGAGTTGCTGAGAATGCACATGTCTCCGAGTTTAACGGGAATTTCAAACCTACAGCACTCTACAACTGTGGAGTGAGGAACAGTAGACCTTGAGTGAATGAGGGAGCGCATTACCACTCCAGAAATGTTGGTAGCTTTGCAAGCCTCAAGGTGAATAAGCTTGCTGTGCACAAACCTACAGGTCTGTAACTCCTCTGCAAAGGTCTCGCTGAAACACAAGTTGTCTATGTACTCCTGCATTGTTCCGAGATGGTAAAATCTTGACAATGGCAGCACTACCACGTGCAGCTTGCAGTCTTGTAGTATTTGTTGGACATTGAGCTGATCACCTGCTCCACCTCCACCTGCCTGTGAAACACAACTCTTTGAATTTATGCCTAAAAGCTGCAGGAAATCCCTGTAGGCATCAATTTCCTGTGTCACTGGCTTGACTTGGGTGTACAACTTGATGAGCTTGTCAACGACAGAGCAGTCAAAGAAGAATGCACTGTCAGTGTATGCAAACTCCTCTTTGCTGTCTCCTGTAAGTAAAATAAATACGGTTAAATTTTGCTAATGAAAAGAGCATAGGACATAAAACCACTTTCCCTATGAAATAATCAGCAAAGCATCATCTATATTCAATTCATTATAACTGATAACTACACATGCTCAAATTTAGCAGTGTACCATAGTTTTCAGCAGCAAACTAGAAATCTTTCAGGAGTTCTGGCTGTAGCATCATATTCGCTAACTGCCAAGAGCATGTATCGATTAATAAAGTGCCATTTTAATGCTGCTATAATGCCATTTTAATGCACATATATCGAGCATACATATAAGGAACTCTTGTGTACATTGAACAGTAACATTATGCCCTGAATATACCTCTGTTATGTAATATATCTGATATACTGAGTTACCTATATTTAGAACTCTAATGTGATCCCCTTCAGATTCCATATGGCATGGTTAGACAGTGCTAGTTCAGCATCGTTAAAAAATGTTTCAATAATGCATTTACTATTCATTCTAAATCAATTGGAGTGACATTCCCTTGCAATTTATTGTTCAACGTGGCTTCTGTGAGTGGCAGTTCCCCTTACCTCCTTTTTCAAAAACTGCACCTTTGTCACGCATAAGCTTCTCCGTTGGCTTCTGCAAAACCTCGAGACACTCGGTTGTCACACAAGTGGTGGCAGACTGAACTTCCTTTGGGCAGAACATAGACTCCATGTGTTAGCCCCAGTGAAACGGGCGATGGATGCGCAAGTGCGGTGAATCCGGATCCGTCGAAGCTCCACTGGCCAGACCTTGAGCTGTTTTCAAGCAGAGGAAGCGTGTAAGTTTCTATATCATCTGAGCAAGTCAAAAACACCCCGGCTTTCATCTTGGCCAGGAATGGAGAGTACATGGCCATCTTTAGGTCAAACATTTGAAATTCAGCAGCCGAATCGATTGGAAGAAGTGCGAACAGCTTTCCCAGAGCACTGTGGCTAGGCAGCCGTTTGCTTTGGCCACCAGTATGAATGAGCAAGATCCTCATGCGATGCAGTTCTTTTCCATACATATTACGAAGGTGCTCAAGTATGTGAAGGGTCGCACCACCTGAACCTGAAAAATAATATCAAATGGAGGGTGATTAAAATAAATACCACGAACAACAACAAAGTAATATTTGATGCATAAAGAAGTGGAGAAAGTTGAAAAATTTCATCTTAGTACTGTTCTAAAACTATTGAATTTCCAAAAAGCCGAGTTTATCCAGTTCTTTATGAGTGTGTAGGTGTTTGGCAACATGGGTGTGCAATATATTGAATTGATTTTTTCAAGATTCTAACTGTCATAACAACACAATCTCCACACAATTGGTCGGCAAACTCATTCATAAGTCGACTTACTCGGACTCGAGTTGAGTCGTGAATTCGAGTATAAGTGAATTTAGGTAAGTAATACTTTGGTGAGTCTGGCTCAAAAAATTTCGATGAGTCGGAGTGCAACTTTGTTCAAAGCGCAAGATATATTTTTTGAGTTAGTCTGTGTGTAGTGCACTTTGCCCCACAGCTCATCTTCAGCAGTACTATTAGCCTTTCCCAGGATTCATGTTTATACTCACGTGTATTCACGCTTATTCCAAAGCAGTATTGTTCGTGCACCATTTCAATATTTGGTGAACAGAGGTGTGAATTACGTAGGGGGTAGCCTTGATCTCCCCCTCTCCTACGTCAACTCTTCCAGGGAAGTTCACGATAAATATACGTTATGTAATCATCTCTTTCAAGAAAGATGTCCTTACTCATCTGCAACTACTTATATCTTGTACGTTTTCAAAAGTACGATATCAAAAGACGCCAAGAAAAGTACGGTATTTGCGAGATATTCTTGGTAAAGACCATTTACACCATGGTCGAACAAGATAAATTTATGCCAACTGACTCGCGAGTCGGCTCACTCGAACTAACTCCAACTCAGATGGAGCCGTAAGTCTGAGCCTGCGTGAGTCGACGTAAGTAATATTTTAGTGAGCCTGAGTCTGAGCAGCTGATTTGAGTGAGTCTGGTTGAAGAAAATTTTCGTGAGTGCCAGTCCGAGTGAGTCCGGCTCAGGATAACTTAAGTAAGTCTAAGCCTGAGTGAGCTGTCAGTGCAGAATGTATTTCTTGAGTGAGTCTCAGTAAGCTCCACTATTTTAACCGTGCTTTGTTTCACACACAAAACATAGGGTTCTGCTTACCAACTTTTGGTCCAGGTGGATCTGAGAACACGTGGTACGGCACAAGAGGGATGAGATTTCGCTCTTTTCTCTGAGCGATTTGTTCACGGAATGCACTGGCTTGGTCTTCATCTGCCGCTGATATGACAACAGCATCCCAGAACAAAATTTCAACTTCACTTGGGACTTTTCCTGTAAAATATAGAGCTTGTGAATGTTTCTGCAATTTGTCAATACGACAGTAATAAAAGGGAAAAGCAAAGATGCATGGAAACAGAATTTTATAGTGTCACACTAAAAAAACACTAAAAGAGAAAAATAAGCTGGGCTTTGTTTGTAATTAACCTTCCATAATGACACAAATAAACTAGTCTTATGAGCTACAAACAATAACCAGTCTTACAAGCTACAATTAGTTGAGCGAGTAGAGTAGAGTAGAGTGAAAACAAAATGTCTGCAATTGACACTGCGGAACTTTTGCACATGCTTGCTATCAAATTCTAGATTTTGAGTGTCTGCTCATGTGCAGTTGATATCTTATGAATTGGAAGCAGATATAGTGGATTTTAAAGTACTTAACAAGTGAGCTTAGCTAGTTTCCACAAATGTATGAAAAGATACCTTGGACTTCATTATATCATTCAAGATAATGACCAGTGCAGTGTTCAATTGAGCAGCATTCTAACACTCGATGGTTATGTTGTCGCTTTCATAACATTATTTCCACATGAATGGGTGCAGTTCATTTTAAACAGCTTTTCTATACAGATTTCTATAAGAATAGTCAGTTTTTTTTCACACGCTACCAGCGTCTGGCTTGAACCTAAGATTGTCATTAATAAATGTAGCAAAGTCCAGTTACAAACGAAAATACATTGTGATTATACCATATTGGGGCATGCAGTAGTGGGGATCCTGTGTTAATTCTGACCATAAAGGAGTCTTTTAATGTGCAGTAAAATCTAAGCTGGCAAGCATTTTAGCATTTCGTCCTTTGAAATGTGATCGGTGTGACTGCGAATCAAACACCAATTTCTAAGCTTAACAGCATAAACATTCAGGCACTACACACTATCTGGCAATCAACAAGAAGTAATGTCTATTGTATATTGTGGCTGCCATTGTAAGACAATAAAGAAACTGGTGTTTTTCAAAAAGAACCATAACAAAAGGGCACCCTTCACAAAACATATATATATATATATATATATATATATATATATATATATATATATATATATATATATATATATATATATATATATATATATATATATATATATATATATATATATGTATGAGGTCTAACAGATAATAATAGGGATAAGTTATTAGAACCAATGTAAAATAATAAGAAAGAAAAGTGGCTGAAAAAGTTATTGTGGAAAAATTATTATTGTGTCAAAACAGGGAAACACGAGCCCTTAGTTATACAATTCTTTCCCTTCCTATATATATATGCATGCTTCAACTTTATTATTTGTTCTAGTACAAACTAGAAATGTCCTCAGAGGCTAAATGCTGCCGTCAGCAGCTTGACTGGGCTTAGGAGGCGTTGTACATGACAGTGCGAGAAGATAAACATTTTAGTAGAAAAGAAATTTGACACTCAGATGCACGATGAGAGGATGTTGAACATTCGATGATACAAATATTTGCATAAATAGCAAAACACTCAAACAAAATATGATAATTTGGTTTACATCATTATACATGAATATGCCGTATACATGCTTACATGTTAGCGAAATGCATCTTCAATTTCTAGAGAGATAATTTAGTAGCGTGAACATAAGTATTTAGAATTTTCAGTAGATTGTGTTTGAGGGATCGCAGCCCACTTGGCAGCATTCAGGTTATAACATTCAGATTAAGAAGTGGGAAATATGCACTGAAACTAATGCATAAAGATAGGGTACGTGGTTACATTGCGATTGCAGTGTGACCAAAGTGACTACACTATTTGGGATTGTTTGACGTGATCAGTCGACAGAACAACCTGATCACTTGGTCCATATTTGGAATTAAGACAAAGCAGCATGACCAACGATGGAACAAATAAGACAATACGAAAACGCAACAAAAATTGCTAACGCTTAGTGGTTAATTATGAGAAAAACCAGTTTATGTAAGCTGGACATCCATTTACTTCAACAAGAACATTAGTGACTAAGTACACACCGAGGTGTCAAAAGAGCATAAGAAGAGGCACTGCTGTTTTGCATGCTTTGTCATTACTAGTAGGCGCACGCGGTATTTTTTTGCAGTTTTCAACACTTCCGATACATAGCGTAAAAAGTAAATTTTTTGGGACGACTCAGATACGCCGACAAACAATGACGTCATAGCTAGTGGCGCCCTCCCGTTCAATATCCGCAAAGCAGATGTTAGACGCTGATTGGTCGGTTAAAAGCTGCTTATTTTGTATGTCGGTAGATGGCAACACCTGGAGCGCATGAGACATGAGATGATGAGATCAGCCACCGTGCCAAGTGCTAAGCATTACGTACTAAACATTAGCTTTGATTTCTACAAATACGAAAGCACTCAAACGCATGACTTTGTGTTGTTACCGTAATGAAATGGTAGCGGAGTCTTCAAAACCCGAGTGCAGATAACTCGAACGAGGCTAATTAAGCAGCAATTAAAGGTAACAATAGTCGCCGGCGTGAGAAAATGCAGTCACACACGATGCTCATCAGTTCGTACCTCTCAACGCTTCGTAGGAGTCAATGCACCTTTTCATAAAGGCGGGTACTGTGAGCTCCATCTTTGATTAAAACTGCACTTTGGGCGAGCAAACTGGTGCTCAGTGCCTACGAAAACAAAATACAGAGAGGGATAGGGATACGCCACGAACTGCTTTGAACAAGGGGAGTTGCCACGTTGTCCTGTCCCGCCGATTCAAACAAAACACGCGCTAGTCTAGTGTGCTGCTACATCTGTTTTGAAAAAATAAATAAATAAAAGTACTGTCTTGTCCATTCATCTTGCTTGTCTAAAAAAATAATAAATGTAGTAGAGATTAATAAAATAACTAGGATGCGAGTAGAAATAAATTTTTTGCATGTATTTAGAAAGAACAAATGCAGCGTTATCAATATTCACTTGATGAAAAAAAAATCTTGAGTCAAAATTTTTTGCAAATTTCTTTAGTAAACACCAACGTAATGCAACTAAAAATTAACATAAAAATACGTTTGAATGCGGGTGGGATTGGTACTTTGTAAAATAGACTAATGAGTTAAAAACACGCGGTTGGTGCGTAGCCTTTGAGACTAAGACATCACTACGCTATTGAACAGTAGACTTAAAGATCAAAATTGCTACAAACGTCAGCCTGCACGCCATCTATTGAGAATGAAATGCTTTCACTTGTACCCGTCAGATGGCACGAGAAGACAAACCTTGAAACGAACGTTCACACGTGCAGAGAAGCCAGCCTCTGGGCACGCATTGAGCGGCGCTTGCCGGCTTGAAAGACGCGGTTGGTGTGCAGCGCGAGGTGATCGTTGGCATCCGAGCCAGCTGCTCGAAGTCTCTGCGATCCGTGGAACTAATGTCAGCTCCTGTGACCGGTGAGGTGTGTCGGAACGCTTGCGGATTCCGTGTGATGGTGCGCGAGAGCTCCAACTGAGCATGCAGCTTTGGACGGAGCTCGGTAGCTGAGACAGTGTGTGCCTGTTTCTGTGATCGCTGTGCGCGTCTTCTTGTGGGCCTTCGTATCGCGACGCCTCGAAGAACTGGTTTCCAGAGAGACGTGTGGATTAGGATAGGTAAGTGAACAAGTTTGCTGGCGCTTGTGTTTTGGGTGGTGGTCATTCCCTCTTAAATGTGTGACAGACGGTAAAAGAATAAGCGGAACCAGTGGCTGAACTATGAGCCCCGGGATTGATGTGCGCTCGGCGTCGATCTGTCATTAGGAGCTCGCGCCCACGTTCTCATTTGCAACGCGAACGCACGCTTTGCACTCTCCGCTTTAAGTACTGGTTCCGATGTTTCTTGCAGCGGTTAGTGATAGCTATAGTTTAATTGAGTTTCCTTATGATTGATTAAACCACGTCCATGAATTCATTGTTATTAATTGGAATGTAATTTCGAGTGTTTTACGTCACGATCGCAGTAGTTCGTCGAAACCAGCACTGCTTTCTTGCATTCGGTGCATGTCACTTTTCAGCCGATGATGTGCTCTTCTTTCAAATCCTCTTTTCATGTGCTCGTCTGGATACAATTGACCTCTTGACACTCGATCGCCACCCCTTATCACGCCGCGTGATGATGTTGTGTTCATTAACCTTCACTCATTTGTATATTTGCTTTTCAACTGATAAGCACAATTGTCGGTGATACGTACTCTTATGAGCCGAGCAAACAAAGCGATCGTGCGGCATTTAATCGAGGTGCCGGGAACTCCCACTTATGGCCAGAGAATGCCATAAACTGATGCACAAGTGGCCCTTGGAAGCAGCCGACCACATCGACAAGCGTACTGCATTTTGGCAAGTTCAAGGCTGTAGCTTCGCTCGACGGTATTTTACGGTCTGTCTCCGCCCATCCACTCGCTTCGACAGGAAACACGGACGTGGCATTGACATGCGTTCGATGCGATATGCGACACCACACCACACAAAGCGAAACTAGTTGAGAGTTCAGTTTAGTGAGGGTAATGAGGGTAACAGGCGCGCGTTTGACGGATTCATCACAGGTCCGCAAACGTGCGCAGGGATATTGGTGACCAACATGCGATCCACGAAATACTAGGAGAGAGATTCAAAGACGTGGTTCATATTTGGATAACTGCAAATTTTACGTTCTCCGATATTTTGTTAGTCAATGATTTTAGACGGGAGGTCACGCTAGTAGCGGGACCCAAGCTTGAGATGTTCGCCGCAGTGACACTGGAACTTTTTGATGGTGTCTTATTTGCTATGAAATTCGGCTCCGTGAGTAACCCAAACGTCATTCAAAAATCATATTTGAATGCTCATGCATTCTGACTTTTCGAATGTCTCTGAATTGTCCGCATAAATACCCTTTAAACATGTCCTTACGACAACCACAAGGGGAAAAAAAAAACTTGAGGGGAACGTGGCAGTATGATTATGAGATGCGGTTAATGTTGGGAGGGCTTTGGTTAAATTTCGACCACCTGATGGTTATTTAACATGCAGCTAGATCCAAGTACGTCGGCACTTTCGCATTTCGCTCCATCAAGATACGGCCTCCACGTCCAGGAATCGAATCCACGCCTTCGTTCATAGCAGCGCTAAAGAACCATGCCGTGTCCACTCAATGCTTGAGAACGTTGCGTGGTTCCTTGATTGCCCTCTTTTGAAGCCGAAACAGTGAGGAGGTTGTATTGTTGTTTGCCACACGACATTAGTTGGAAGCGATAGATTGAACTCGTTTGAGACTGGTTCGGGGTGCGACCACTTCTGAACTTTATCCCAAAATAGTAACGTATCGTCTGAGGTTCTGGAGGAAAAGCCAGCACGAAGACATAACGAACTATACAGACAAAAGTAGAGGAAGTACAAGCTTTTGTAATTTAGTCTTTATCTGGCTTTCTGACCGTGCATGCTCAACACCATGGCCTGTCTGGCCTGCTTGCTGCCCCCGGGGCTCGCTTGACTTTCTTCCGAGTTCAGTCCTGGGCTCCTGGCAGCTCCAGGCGTTCGGCGCTTGGTTTCACCGGCGTCGCGTTGACGTGAACCCGGAAACAAGCAAAGGCCGCGTGTTTGATGAAGCGTGCTTTTTTTCGGCGTGACGTGCCGTTTCAAGCCGGGCGGTTTGCCCGGAAATTGGCGGGAACCCGTTACGGATCGGAAAATAGAGCCTGTTACGACGGAAACCGAGACCTGTTATCTATAACGCCGCCTGGTTTTGAATGTCGGCGTTAACCATTCATATTTCGCATTGCTCCATCGATGCACCGGGCGGTAAGCTACGTGGATCGCGTACAGCTGGGTCGGTGCCCGCTACTGTTACAGTTCTCTTTCGGTTCGTCTATTGTTCGCCTAACTCGGTATATGTATCGCCACCATTGGCGTAAGTCATGGCGGGGTCAGGGGGTTGGAGCCCCCCTGGTGATCAGGCTCGCGGGTGGGGGGGGGGGGGGGCACCCTTTTCAAGTATCCCACCTTGAGATTTAGCTTTAGCACATGATGTATTTAAGCTACTTGACAGCTAAATATAGTGTATTTAGCACTTATTAAAGGCTGAATATTTTTTATTGTGCACCTGTGTTCAACACCCATAATTAAGCTGTCGGAGACTATGGAAATAGCAAAATCCGCTCGGATTCAAGGAAAGCTCAATATAACTATGAAATGTTCGAGCTCGGACCCCATGCTCGTTTTTTAGACTTTATTTCAAAGTATGATTTAATCCTCATGAAAATAATACAACACATATTAAGAAAAAATGACCGCCATGGCTTGTGCCCCTTTGTGGTTTTTCTGGATTTACGCCAGTGATCGCCACCTTCTTCTGCACTGTTATGTACGGCATGATATAATGGCGACACGGCCATTTAGTGAACAGTTATCGAGCAAGTTCTTGACTGTAATGAAGCTTTTCTGGGAAAGTTCGCAAATGCACTTCAACGTCAGCTATCGCGCTTTTAAGGTCACTAACATTAGCAGCTTCGTCACGCCGTGCTCTGACCTAAGACCATTCTTATCTTTCCATTCAAGTGCTATGACGGATGTCTCCCCGTTGTGGAACACCAAATGAGCGTTTTGTTTTTCTTTCTCCTTCTCGTTCATTGTTGTCAAGGATATGCAGTGTAGATAGACGTTTCGATCGCTCTGGCCACTTTGCCTTTGTATTTCTGCGAAGGTCAAGTTCGTTGTGGCGATCAACGTGCCCATATTTTCGCCTTTGTACGAAACGTCAAGAGCACAGGCGTGTATACGGTGGTCAGGAAAGCGCCGACTTTTTCATTGGCGCGGACTGGCTGCACTCTCTTGAATTTCGCTTCTCAGAAACGGTTGATTGATTTTGATTGATTGATTTCTGGGGTTTAACGTCCCGAAACAACGATATGATTATGAGAGACGCCGTAGCGGAGGGCTCCGGAAATTTTGACCACCCTGGAAGTCTCTAGCGTGCACCCGAATCTGAGCACACGGGCCTACAACATTTCCGCGCTGCTGAAACGGACTAATATCCGCAGGACAGATGGCATAGACGGTCATGCATGCATTGATAGCCCTGTTCTCGCGTGTATAAGTTCAGGTTCGTCAGTGAAACTACACGTGTAGTTATCGAGTAATAATAAAAAAAAAAACGCTTCACCATAACATCATTCTGTGCCGCGCCGGCCGGTTGTTGCAGGGATACTTTCACGCATATGCAACTCCAAAGGTATCAACTTCAACGGCGGAGCTTGGCGTATATCGATATAACTTTTCTTCACTTCGTGTCTCCCCTTGAAACACAAGGTTAATGCATGTATCTCCGAGGGATACGACTTTTATCTGCGTGCCCAAGCCGTGTATCTGCGGCTGCCCCTCTTAGAGATAGGTACCGCACTTTTTCCTGGCAACGCGTGAGAGTTATTTATTATTATTTTTTTACGATTGGGTACGTGCGCGGCATAAAAGCGAGGCCAGCGTTTGGGCTTCATGGACACTTAAAATCGAGGGAAGGTGCCGTGCGTCTATTTTATGCACAACCGTGTGTGCATGTGCGCGCGTGCGTGCGCACGTTTGTGTGTGTGAGAGATATATTGAGTGAGGAAGAAAGGGATATTTGTAATTTATGCAACGCACAACGAGTGCAAGTTCGAAACTCATGTGAGAGTGAGTCAGCTCTATATTGTACATTGTAGCTTGGGGAAAAAAAAAAGTTCAGATTAACAATTTCGTAAGACGCTGCACAGAAGGGGGCAATCACAGCGAACTTGTAAGTAAGGTTTTAATGTACGGTGGAAGTTTTATAGTTCGAACGCAATGAAATAAAGCTGCTCTAGGCACGTTCCGCACAAGGTACACACTGACTTATATCTCGAATGGCATACCGTATACGTACTGTTTTCATCGCACTTCTTCAAACTATATATTTGTTTCCAATTTACGTGGAGGTCTGGCGTTTTGCACGACGTTGGCCACGAACCACGCAATGCGATCATCATTGTCAGCTTCACGTTTTTGCTTCCCTTCTTGACTGCGCATGGTCTCGTAGAAAATAAAACTTGACTAACTTTGAAGGTCGTGCTTGCGCCTATAGCTTTAGACACAACTTTACCATTTACATGCTCGAGGCGCCAGTCGAGATGTTCGTTTCCACTTTGTTTTCTTTCCCTGTACCCTTTTTCAACGCGTTTGAAGTTTTCTCATTGACATTATACGTACAAAAGGAAATAACAACAAAAAAATAAAGCAAGGAGGAAAGCTGAAGTTGACGTCGCGAGGATCGTAAATCACTTTCGCTAAAAAGAGCACGCGAGTGACGTGCACGTGCACTTTTAAAGAGTTCCGTGCCTTTCCCGTCTTTTTTTTTTCAATACGCGTTGATTGACAGCATTCGTCTTACAACTTTCGTGGTTGTCTCATAGTGTCGCGCGTTCAGAAATAGTGCGAACAAGCCCCGCGCGCCGCCGAGCGATAAACAAGTACTGCGTCACATCAATGCGAGTCCGCATCGACTGTTTGTAATAGCACGTATCCGTTGCTGCATCAAACGAAACGAATGAGACAGAGTTCTGGAGCAGCAGAAGCTATATACCGGTTATTTCTGTTTGTTATTTATAGCTCAAATCGTAAGCTGTAAG